CACCCCGGCTTGCTGTGAACTAGGTGTTTGTGTCGAGAGACTCTGAGTGGCTGAGGGAGGAATGGCATAAAGGAGGCCTACTTCTGACATAAGGGAGTGTCTCTTTCTCAGGTAGAACCTCTTGTTTTTTCAAACTGGTCATGGATGCAAATAGGTTCATCAATAGGCTTCCAACCGGGCCTATGATGCCCTGAGCGGCTAGATGGTCTAGAGCAGTGGTTCTTAACCTTTACTGCAGCCTTCACTCCTTTGGTTCTCAAAGTATGTTCTCGCATCCCTTATCAAAAATCGTTGAAGTAGGTCAGTTCTCTAAACCTAGATGTATTTTTTGTTTGTATATTACAGTAATCGTTAAAAAATGTATAATGTTAATAAATACATAGGTTTGATGAAACAAAGTAGTTGTACGTACGTGCCTGTGCTTAACTGGTGTTTTCAATGATTTACCTTCTAAAAAATATCTGGCATATCTCGCACCCCCGGAAAGGGCATCTCGCGCCCCCAGAGGATGCGTGCACCCCAGGTTAAGAACCACTGGTCTAGAGTATGTTTCCTTGGTTCTAAGGGTGTCTTGCTGAGCCAGTCAACCCTGACTTTTCTTCTTAGTGAAGAACCCCAAAAACCATAAGGATGGGAGTGTAAATTAGGGCAGGTGGTAATTCCTCTATCCCCAAGGGATGATGTGTTACACCCTCTTGTGAGTAGCTTTTTGGCTGCTTCCACTGCTCTAGCCTAATGTGACTTTCCTCTTGACATGCCCAATTTTTGACCAGTTCTGTTCCCACTTCAGTACACTCCCCCATAATGACACCTTGGTATATAAATGGGGGTGCTTGTGTTACACACAGAGTGCTACTGTAGCACAAATTACAGTTGGCAACTGAATTACATTATCATGACACTGAAGAATTTGGCCTGCGCTCCTCAGATGAAAGGCAAGGAATGGGGAGACTTTAAAATGAATAGATCATTCTTAGTTTTGCATTTTTAATCATTATTAGTAGCAGCATTATGGTAATGCCTAGAGGCCCCTACCAATACTAGAGCCTTAATGTGCTAGGCCTTGTACAAACTTCATAAGAGAGAGTCCCTCTCCTAAAGAGCTTACAATCTAAATAAACAAGACTGGCAAAAGACAGGCAAAAGGACATGTTATCCCCATTTTACAGAAGGGGGAACTGAGGCATAGATTGGGACTTGCCCAGGGTCACAGGAGAAGGCTGTGGCAGAGCTGGGAATTGAACCCAAATCACCTTTTCCCTGGCCAATGCTTTGACACAAGTCCCTCCTTCCTTTCTAAATATTAATACTCCTCATGACTTCAGCTGGTCACAACACAGGGCCAAAATTTCAGAGGAGGTGTAGTGTAATGTAGCCAAATAGGAAAAGTTATTTCAAAGACTTGTTCAAAGAACACTAGGTTTTTTAAAAAAAATTTTAATCTGCCAAAATTTTACTTACTGTTAACAGTGTGTGTAATGGAAGTGTCAGTTGTACTAACTCGAACAATTACTCCTGATTTACAGCAGAGTAAATTGAGAATAGAATTTATACCACCCTAAGTACTATGTGCAATGGTATAATTTCTATATAGCTTCTTAAGTGATTCCCCCCCCCCGTCCTGCTTTCTAATATGCTTTTTAAATGAAGCAGTAGTATATTTAAAAAATCATTGATTTTTTTCTGAGCTGAGCAAAATGGTTATTTCCATTACAGTAAAGTACAATTCAGTTTAAAAGCAGATTCCAGAATATCTTACCTTTTAAAAAAACAAAAACTCCTGCTTCCCATAAAATACCCATGTTGGCATCTGACTTCTTCCTATAGGCAAGAAGTAGTGCAAGTTTAAGAAACTGTTAACTAACTTTCCAAAAGTGTAACATTGCATTATTATGTTTGGAACCTCTTCACCTTCATGTACATGTTCTGCTTAATCATCTGAACATTGTTTGTGTATAGTCACTTTGCTCTATTTTTGTGGTAGTATGTATTAAAAAAAATGTAAACTACTCCATTATTTGTAAGATAATGATCTGGTTTGTATTGTGAAACCTGGCCCTTCACATAGGGAGCTAGTATCTCAAAATCCTTTTGATTTCCCACTGCCATCTGCATGTAGAACATAATAACCATAGTCTGGCCCAAATCATAGGACACAGCATCATTACATCTGCCAGCTTATTTATATGACCACCTTAGAAGCATGTTTAGAACCTTTGGACAGCCTCTGACCATTCATGTGGCTGGCAAAGTGGTGCCTACAGTTAATCCATTATGTTAAAAGGACCTGTTAAGCAGTGGTGAGCTGGAGCCGGTTCGCGCAAACCGGTTGTTAAAGTTTGAGGCTGGTTTAGAACCGGTTCTTAAAGGGGTGGGCAAACTCCAGCCCGCGGGCCACATCTGGCCTGCAGGACCGTCCTGTCCGGGCCGCCTGAGCTCCCGGCTGGGGAGGCTCCCCTGGCTGAGAATCCCTTTTTAATTTTCACTTACCCGGTGGCGCTCCGGGTCTTCGGTAGCGGGCCCTTTACTCGCTCCGGGTCTTCGGCGGCACTTCGGCGGCTGGTACTTCAGGACATGCCGCCGAAGACCCGGAGCGACTGAAGGAACCGGTTCTTCAGATTTGGGAAGCTCATCACTGCTGTTAAGTAGTGGAAAAATATATGCATGTAATTATTGGGCCAACAGTCACTTTGAATAGACTGCAATTTGAATCATTGGGGCAAGTCACTTTGGACAGATTTCAATTTGATTGGTTTTTTTTTTTTTCCAGGTGAAGCTGATTGGACATAAAGGACAATTGAAGTGGGTTTCACTGGGAGAAAAGGGGATGACAGTGGCTGTGCCTCAGCTAACCCCTAGTCAGTTACCCTGTCAATGGGGCTGGACTCTGCAACTGATGAATGTAAACTGAACGATACAAATGGAGACTTCAGTTGCTGTTTCTTCACAAATGTTACTGAGAACACTTCAAATTTCTAACTTGCTTATATATACGCTATATTGAACTCCCCATGTACAGCTGAAATTGGGATTGATGGGAGCAGATTTAATGCAGACAAATGCTGTTCCAGATTCAGCGGAATGGGCATTTGGCCTTTCACTTCCAGCATTTAACCTCTTTGATTTGAAAGACTGGTTAGCTTTAAGTGGTGGGGTGGATTTGTAAGATTACATTGGACCTTGTTTGCAGCATAATATTAGATTTCTGATCTACTGGTTTCAATTCATCTCTTCAAAAAAGGTCTGTGCACTGACCCATGGTGCATCTTCCTTAAGCAGCCCACAACAGCAGGAGCAAGGTTGTGAATGTAGCCAAATTCTGCAGCGATAAGTTGATCAAAAAGCAGGTGTACAGGGCAAGGGTTAGTTGTACCAGTCAGCCTTTTTGAAGTTATTTTGTGTACTTTTTAAAACCATTTATTTTTTTTCTAATGGAAATATTTCAGTTGTTTCCTCTCTCCCTCTTTGCCACTGAAAAAGGAAAAATAACCAAAAATAAAATTAATCAAAAGCAAAGTTTTGAAGTTTGTTATTGAAAAAAGGCTATCTTTCATTAAAAATAATTTCACATTAAAAAATTTGACCAGCTGTGGTAGTAAATCATGAATAAGGCACTTTCAGCCACATTAGAAATACACTGAGTCTAGCAGAATCTCCGCTATGCTGCAGGTTATTGCTATGAGGGGCCTGGTTAATTTTTAAATTATGGAGAACTTGAGCAACACATCCTTTCACTATGAAAGGCACTCCTTGTGAAGGATATAAGAGAGCAGAAAAGATATTTCTAGAAATATCTGGACCTCTGCTGCCTTCTAGGAACATGGCTGTCCTTTCAGCAGCATTGTGTCCCCCAATAATTTTCAACTCACTGTGTATTTAGCAGTTCCAGGTTTACCTTTTTACAGCAGAAGGTGAGTTAAGTGACTGAAAGGGCCAAATACTGCTCTAAATAGCCAAATAGCACTTGTGGGAGAAAACAGTTTAAAAGTCATTCTAATCCTTCCTCCTATGGCATGGGCTGTCCATTTATGACAAACCCTTTATCTCTTCCTCAATACCCACTTAACCAAAGGGATGTAGAGATTTGTGTCTCAGTGACTACGAGGCTGGGTGCAGTTGGGACACCAAAAAGGCCCAACTGGCCAATCAGTATTGATCTTTGGGTAACAGGACTGTGGTATTGAACATGGTATAAGTGGCTAGACAGAATTCTAAATGAAGAAAGATTAACTAGGCTATTTTCACAGCCTTCAGAAGAGTCAAAGTCTACTACAACTTATTTTGTCAAAGACATTTGTAAAGAAGCTTCAGTGCCACATTTCTAGAGAGCTGGGGAAGTTAGTACAGCTGTAGCTTCTATCCTACTTCAGAAACATTAATCATGATCTAATATTCCATTGTATATCCTACCCTGGGCAGCAATCTTGCAAGGAGTTATGCACATCCATAGCATTACATACTGAGTAGTTGCACTGATTTTAATAGGAGTAGTCACAACATATAAGGTTATGCATGTGGTTAAGTCTTTTCAAGATCAGGGCTCTAGTCTGACTGGCTGCAAGTAATAGACTAGGAAAATCATGTAGTTGTAACCATTTCAAGCAGCTCCCCTTGGTGAGGAATTTAACACAAAATCTTAATTTTACGTGTGAAATTTTGTTATCTACTGCGTAGAATTTAGGAGATTGTGAATAGGAGTAGGCCTGAGTTACAAAATCTGTACTTATGGTATAGTGATGGGCATATTAAAAGTCTGAGTGGTGAACTGATGTTATGCACCTGTGCTGTGTGGTTCATTTAGCTATTCTTATAGTCAGTAGGGCTGCTGTAGTTTCTCTTATTTATGCTGATTGGGTTTTTAAATAGGTATCTCGTGTGGACTTATAAATCCATATGTACATGAAAATTGCTCTCCCGTAGTCCCACCTTTTGTGCCAAAGAGTTATATTTTTCTAGTCTTTGCAAGTTTCTGTAGGAAACCAATGAAAATAATGCAAGACTAAAATGTAGAGAAATTTTAATATATGTAAAGTTTTAAAATGGTGGTCTATTTAGGTATAGACATTCTTTTATGTTGGTAAAGTTATTGCACACAAATTTTACATTAAAATTCTTTATTGCAATACAGACAGTGTACTGGGATCAAAATTAATATAAAGTAAGATAAAGTATTTACAAATGTGTACATCGATAGCTGCTCATCGATAGCATAAACACAATAGACCCTCTAAAAATCAATGTATTCTAAGTCTTCAGCAAGAAGGCAAGCACCCACAACATTGGTCAGGCACCTGCATCAGTTGGCAGAGGCTGTGCTTTTGCCTCTGGAATATTAAATCCTCTAGGATGGCATTTATAGAATTGAGGAAAGAAGGGTTTTTTAAAGTTTTTGTGGGGGAAGGAGAGAAAAGCCTGACTTCACCCATCTTACTGTCTGTTGCAGTTTCTAGAGTTTTATGATCAGAGAGATTGCTTCTTCCAAAATTCACCACATCTGAAGCAAGTCAGTTTTAATAACTGTAGGTATCTTAATATTGGCCTTCTGTGTACAATAAAAGTAGTTCTAAATGAGTTAATTAAATACAGCTGAAACCTGCTTAATACAAAGTCTTAGTGAACAGTGATTCTTCCAACATGAAGTTTTTCATCAGGTGTTGTAAGCAGAATTCTATTATATAAACAATAGCAGGTGCATTCCCAAGTATTTCAATAAGTGTATTCTTTCTGAAGGTCTAGCAATCCTACACTATCATGAAATTAACCAAAATCCTTAAGTTCCCTCCAGGTATTCACAAGGGATGTACTATATAAAGACATGATCTGTTCCTTTTGATGCACAGTTCACTTCTCTAATTGTTGAGGAGTACTAAAAGCTTCATACACATTAGCAGCAAAGTCTTTCATTTGTTCCATCATCAACAGGTCCTGGAAGAAGATGGAAGTAAAAAATAACTAGTTTAAGAACCATCACCTTTTCTTGCTGAAGTACTTACACATGGTTAAACATGACAGAGTCTGATACCAGAAAGTGTTTAGTTTTTTACTCAAATATGAAAGTTTGTCACATTTGAAAAACAAAATTGTGATCAGAATTGCCAAAGCAGTCTGATCAAGAGATCATTCTGCATTTACCACCATCCTTCTCTTCTTCTCTCCCGCTCCCCCTACCCTCCCACTGACAACAGCAGGTGGCAGGGATAAGAGAGAGAGACTGACCTTTTTTTGGGAGAGGGAGCCTTTTCTTAAGTGGCACCAATTGTTCCCACTTCTGAAAAGAAACTGAACTAAAACTCATCACATGAGAATTGGGCAATACAGTTCTGATATAAAATGTTGCATTTAACAATGAATATTTTAGCAGACTTGGGATACTTTTAAGATACTAAGTACAAAGGCTTCTTACCTGAATAAAATGACTAGGGGTTTCACTGCACACCAAATGGATCTGTCCATTTATGATGGGTATTATCTTTGCCAAAGGAAGACTGACACTGGAAAGACTAGAAGGAATAAAAAACACATAAGAGGCAGGCATAAGCCTCCTTTTTATATTGAAAAACTATATATAAATTCTTTGGGATTGTTATAACTCTGAAGAAGTCACTTCCATCTCTTTTACCCTTGAAAGAGTAAGTTTCAGATTTGCATTGTGTGTGGTTTTAAGTTTACTTATTTGTTCTTTATCAGGTCTTTTGTTAAAAGCACACATATAGAAAACAAGCACAAGAAGCAGCAACTGGATCTGTTGGTGACTGTACTCCATTCAACAACATAGGTGTATCACATGTAGCAAGAACTATAGTTCAACCAAAGTTTGTACCGTTTGTATCACTAGCTATGTCAGTTTGCAGTCCCATCCTCTTTCAAATACTATTGGAGGTAGCGTGAGGAGTCAAGTAGGACAGATGGGAGATTAATAGCAATCCAAAATAGTACAGTAATTGTATCCATTTAAATAAATTACATTTAAGGGGACTATCAAACACTTTTAAATGAATTACAGTTCTGCTTTTGTGTTATTGACAATGATAATCTTTTTCCCATTTGAAAATGATTTTTTAGAACTGGATGAGTGTGGAGTTTTCAAATAAGGTGTTTTGCCATTGATTTCAGTGTAGCCAGGATCTCACCCAAAAAGTACACATATTTCACTTTCATCTTACTACTAAACATATCAGAGTAATAAAGCCCCTCCATATGCCCCTTTCACAGTCCATCTCAAAACTCAATCCTGCACTGAAACAGATCTTTGTAAGCAGACCCCTGTACACACGTAGAGCCTCACTGAAACCAACAGGGTTCTCACTAGGTGCAGGAGTTTGCCTATATGTCCTCAAATGCAGGATCAGGGCATAAAGAGTGTGTTATAAGGGAAGTGCAATTAAGTCAAGCTCTCTTGGAAATGCCCACAATTTATCTATTCTGTTAAGTATTTCAGCTATAAAAATGACCTCATATTATTCTATGGTTTCAGAGTAACAGCTGTGTTAGTCTGTATTCGCAAAAAGAAAAGAAGTACTTGTGGCACCTTAGAGACTAACCAATTTATCTGAGCATAAGCTTTCGTGAGCATAAGCTCACACACAATGCAAATGCATCCGATGAAGTGAGCTGTAGCTCTCGAAAGCTTATGCTCAAATAAATTGGTTAGTCTATAAGGTGCCACAAGTACTCCTTTTCATATTATTCTATGTTTATCCTGTGTGGGGGTTTTTAAATCCACTTTGCCTTTCAGCATCCATTCTTCCAGGAAGGTCCTATTCTGTATTCAGCACACTCCAATTATTGTACAGTTCTGTGTACTCTGACTGTATTATAGATGGAACGTAGTTCAGAAGGGGTTAAACTAAGCATCTGGCAGTCAAGGAGTGAAACTTCATATCAGAGAATGCTAAAACAAAGCTTTATAAGGAGGATGGAGTGTGTTAAGAAGTAGGGGATTAAAAACAGACAACGGAGTCACAACAGGGATGAGTCTGGCCCAGTGGTTAGACTGGAGGACTCTGAATTCAGGGTTTGTAAAAACTATTGCTAAAATAATTATCAGCATGCTCTAGCAGACTAAGCATGGGATAGAGAGCCAAGAACTCTGAAGTTCTAGCTTTAACGCTGCAACTGACTGTGTGGGACCTTTGTCAAATCACAGCTTATACTGCTGTTTTCTCACCTGTAAAATGACAAAGCTAGTACCTCTCTACCTCACTAAAGTGAGTAAAATCCTAAAATCCATGTTTGTTTATGAAGTGCTAGAATTCTTCTCATCACCAGTTACTTCCATTATACGGGGCCATGGTATCTATAACCATGTGCAGAGATTCCTGTGAAGTCAAAAGCATAATCAAGACAGAAAACACGTAAAATATCATCAAAGCAATATTTACCTATTTACAGAGCCACTCTGACATAAGTCCTGTTCAGTGGGTCTAAAGAACTCTGCCATGTTGTCCAATAGTCGACTGAATCCCCTGTTTAAACACGTGCTCAAAACTGTACTAAAATCTGGGCTGTAAAAAGAAAAAGTTTTTAAAAATTGCTGTTCTGGTTCCTAATATGTAGTTCTTCACATTTTTAAAATACACCCATAGGCACCCCATCAGCAATCTGGATGCCTATCCCATAAATTAAAGGTTACAACAGAGACAAAGGACTGCTCAAAAATATATGTTCCTCAGCCCACCAAACAGATGGTCTTTGCAGCATGTCCAGAAGATTAGCAAGTATGGGTTCTGGCAGACGCAGGTTCCAAAAAAAAAAAAAAAAAAAGGTCACAGAACACCCTGCCAGTGGTTCCCTCTTATTTCTATTGAGGCAATTCCACCTTGAGCACCAGTGCTGTTCTCAATTGAGGCAGTATACCACAGAGAGAGTAACCAAGTCCCAAACCGTTTAGGGCTTTACAGGTTATAACCAACACATTGAAATCCACCTGCAAGCTGAATAAAAGCCAGCGCAGATCAAGCATTTATCACTAATCCAGGAGAACTAGAACTTCAATAATCATTCTTACTTAGTGCTAAGAAACTGTGGTGATGGGCACAATAAAATCCCCAATACCTCTCGAAGATCAATGAAAAGAACAACCTGCCCATAGTTCAGTGCATCCATATTCAATTTCTGTCAACATTTTCAATGAAAAACCCCTCACTTTTATAACTGCCTTGTAGAAGAAAGCATTTAATGCACTGTTAAAACCCTGCATAAAAAGGTGTCAACTGGAATCCATTTAAAAATAGAATCTGAAAATGAAAATTAAGCCCAAATTTCTGCACTTTTACGTACGAGTAAGAGTGGAGGAAAGCCACTGATTTCAATGAAACAACTCTGGAATTACACTGATCTAAAAGAGAGGAGAAGTTGGCCCAAGTTATTGCAGAACCACAGAAAATGAGGGGGAAAAGACCTGTTGTATCAGCTTGTCAAGAAGATTATTTCAATAATCAAGAAGATTATTTCTTCTTGCAAGTATATTTTCTAGTGATGTGTCTAGTAATGTTTACAGTGATTAATCAATTTTTTGTTTTTAAAAGCTAAAGCTTGGTTTTTCGAAAAGGCCCAATGAATTCAGTATTCAAATCCCACTGAATTTGAGCACTCAAGCCCCTTAAGCACTTTTTAAAATGGCAGCCTAAAAGCCTTTAGCTCATTAAATTTTAATACAGTATTAATAATTTAAGGGTCAAATTTTATGAGGGGAACCACCAGCACCGGTACATATATGAAAACTGCAATTATTATAAAGATTTTAATGCTAATACAGGTTCTCTCTATACCTTTCCAACATATCTCTGGTTTCATTAAGTAATTTAATAGTAGCAACATCTCTTTCGGTAAGTCCACAGGCCTAGAAAAAGCAAACAAAACATCCAATTTAATAGGAACTCCATTAGCAACTGGAATACAGTTAGACTACAAATATAATGGTCTAGTTTTGAAGTCACTGTTGCAGAACCAGGTTGGTGTTCCTCTAGTGTTCATTTCAAAAATTTAGTAAAATAGGAGTAAGTGACCCGGGGACCGCTTGATACCAACTGGCAGAGTGCACAGGGGGCGCAAAGTGCTTTACAGGGATCCCCTGGGTCAATATCTGTAGTTGACAGACGGTGGCATGTGAGATCTCTAACAAGAGCCAGTAGTAGCCTGCTGGTTGTCATAATCATTGCAACATGTATGTACAGATATTTACAGAGCTATGTAGCTATACTGAAAATTATATTCACAATGTCTTGGAATTAAGGCAGGTCGCCAGAAAGTGACATATCTCAGAAATGTTCCTTTCAGGCAAGAGGCAAGACACCTATGTCCCTGGCCATTTGTGTTTTGTGTATTATATACCTACATGAATACTGAATCAGGTGCAGATTGAGAGATTGCAAAATCTACAAGAACAAACAGCAGGGGAAGTGTCTGGTTTATGAATAAAGACAAAGGTATATCTGTTCCAGTATATATTAGAGCACAAGACGACATACCAAATCCTTCACCTAGGAAACAACTGACAGTGTTCTAGTCTCACAAAAAGCGTTGCAGCCAGCCTGGGCTACAAAGATTTTAGGTGAGCAATACTTTATTAGACATGAGAGGATCATCTTAAGTAAGTCTAGGCACTAGAATGTGTGTTATGATTTTATTTTACATGTAACCATCTGTTTCCAATACTACTACTTGCTGCTACTTGAATCTCTATGCTGTGTAGATAGACTTATACAGTAGAACCTCAGAGTTACAAACAAAGTTATTAACTGGTCAGTCAACTACACACCTCATCTGGAACCGGAACTACACAATCAGGCCGCAGCAAAGACCAAAAAAAAAAGCAAATACAGTACAGTACTATGTTAAATATACACTACTACAAAAATAAAGGGTAAGTATAAAAAAGATTTGACAAGGTAAGGAAACTGTGCTTGTTTCATTTAAAGTAAGATGGTTAAAAGCAGAATTTTTTTGCATAGTAAAATTTTAAAGCTGTATTAAGTCAATGTTTAGTTGTAAACTTTTCAAGGAACCACCATAACATTTTGTTCAGAGTTATAACCTCCATCCAAGGTGTTCGTAACTCGGAGGTTTTACTGTACTTGAGTTCACTATAAAGATATCTATGTGCTGTGTGTAAAGCAGAGGTGATCTGAGGTGGAAGTGGTAAACTGAAGTGCATGGTTTGTTTGAAGGAAGCAGTGGATTTGTAAATACTTCAAATGTCCAGTGGACATGGGGCTGGACACTCCAGGGAGATGCTGGGAGGTCTTGGGGGTTGGCGTATGCCAATCACTAATCTGTAGAGCGACAGTGAGGCCAAGAGGGCAGTGCTTGTGTTGTCAATGGCCAGTAGGGTTGGGGGGCTGACCCATGGCAAGCACAGACAAGGCTTCCTCATGCAAAGGGTAGGCAGCCTCACAGCAAACATCCCATGAGCAACCAAAAATAAGGATTAAAACGTAAGAGCAACAGGGAAAAGGGAGAGAAGTCAAGCCAAAAATGTAATAAGAAAATCATTGTAACAAACGTCCAACTGGAAACCAAGTTTTAAATCGTGCTTATCAAGTCTCTTTATAATCTCTGTGTTCGCAGAAGCATTCACTAATTTTATCACTGCCGTTTTCTTTCAGAAAGTTTTCTGGGAAATAGAGTAACTTAGCGAGATATTCGGTATTCCTTAGCCCTCTAAAGTTGAAATAATTCAACATGTTTATATTTAGTCATTTAACATGAGATGAGTATCTTATCACCCCTTCTGGGGAAAGTTTATTCCTTAAAACTAGTTTTATATCAAGTTAAGAGCTAAATCTCCTCTCAGTGCGAGATGTGGATTAGATATGTAACTATGATGCTGGCAAACTTCAGAAAGTTTGGAAAACTGTTTTAGTGAAACAACTGATTGCCACTGAAGTTTTCTTCTCCTCTCTAACCTTTGTTTCTCCATGCTGGAGGATGAAATTGACATTAGAATAAAAAGCAATTCTGTCTTAACTCTTCTAGTCCATACATTACATTGCCTAGATTAAAGAAACTAGGACACTTGACTTAATGTGAAATAACTGGCATTGGCTCTCATTAAGGGTATAGTTACCATGCTACAACAATAATGTGGTACACAAAATAGAATAAAAATGATGCACATAAAATTAAACAAGTACCTGGGTGGCTAATGGGTTTTCTTCATCTGGCATCATATAATGACACAACAGAGATCTAGATCCAATCTTATCTGAGTGGGACAAGTCTTTATGCTGTTCTATCAACTTTCTGATTTCTTTAAGTTTCTGCTCCAACTCCAAAAGAGACAGAGTATGTTTAAGAGAAACACTGTGGAAAGAAAGGACCAAAATGTTAATTGCAGAGTCAACAACATAGATTTCATTTATTTGCTTGTGACAAAATTACATTCACACAACAACAATCACCATTTTTAGATACTGATCAACCCAGAAATCTGTTGCAACAAGCTAAGCCTGCCAATGCACATTAATAGATAAATCAGACATTTTCAGATACTATTTTCAAATAATAAAAAGTTTCCTCATTTTAGTATTTTTACCCCCCGACACTATTTGGAAGCAACTACCAGGAAAAAGATAAAAAAAAGTCACCTTTACCTTCCAAAAACTTTCTGCACAGCTTGTTTAACTACAGTTATTAACTCAGTCAGACCTATGGGCAGAAAAAAGGTACCAAAAATTATTCAAGTCTTATTTGTTGAAATATTGCATACAATGGCATGATATAAAAATAGTAAGTTTACAAGTGTCATACCATCTCCTAGAAGGTGTTGAATACTTGATAAATATTGCTGTTGGACTTCAGGGGGAGCTAGAGGTGTCTGTAAAGAAAAAAAAACCCCAAACAATTTAATGATGTGCCAGCCACTAGTATAGATTAATGCATGAGTCCTCCTCCTTTGCTTTCATGTAGATTGTAGTCATTCTGGATGTGGATTTTACTCTCCCGAGTCCTTCAACACCATATGTGGGTTCCCCCAGATCCTTCTAATATCATGCATGGGCTTCCCCAACTCTGCCTCACTGGTGAGGCACCCATCTTTCTTCCAGACCTCAGTAGTTTCACAGCATGGAACAGGGTAGGACAAAGACTTCCTCAAAGGAAAATTGAGAAGAAGAGCTAAAAATGTCTTCTGCGGCACATCCATTCTTTAGCAGCAGGTCATTCTGCTCATCTTTCCTCTCCCAGCCTTGTGTAGAATTGCTATACACAAGCCTGAGCAAACGATGGGAGCAGGCAATCTAATTTAGCAACCCCTGCCCCACCGGGGACTTTGAGGAACAGCAGGACTGCTCCTATGTGTCCTAGCACACCCAAGAAGAGAACCTCCAGAATAAATCAACTCAAACCAGAGCTTACAAGCAGACACGCTGGAGGTGGGAGATGACAAGTCTCTCTCAGACATTCATCCTTCTCCAATAAAAAGGAGACCCTTTATTCAGGGTATGGCTTCTGCTTCCTTCCATCCTAAAGGATCCTTTTACCTCTCCTCTAAAAAGAGCTTTCTGCAGATAAGCTCCCTGATCTTTTCCCCTCCACTGTATTATAGGGACCTCTTCTCCATCCCTAGTGGCAGGAAAAACCGCATCCCTCATTCACCCTTTGCTCAGATAGGAATTCTCCTGAAGAGGGCAAGCTAGAGTTCGAACCAGTCCCCTCTCCACCTTCCTGCTCCTCAGATCACCTCAGGAAAGCCACTCTGATGGAATGGGGTAACATCAACTCAAGTCTCATAAAAGCCTTAAAACTCTCTGTAGTGAAACAAATTCTCAGGACATGAAGCGGAGGCCATCTGCTTTGCTCCAAGGCAACCTCTCAGACTGGATCCTGCCAATCCACTCCACTCCTCGGAAGATGGCAGAAACAGAGAGTGCTTCTCCCTCTACACTCACCCTGCCCAAGAACCTCCTTAGATTTTACCAACTGGACCCTGACCTCCACCACCTCTGGCTGCCTTACTGGAAAGTGGATCCTCCTAAGCCCCCAGGCCTGTCTCTAGAGACCAGCATGTCCTTCATGACTCTGGAAAGGAAGGTGGAAGGAGCGGTTAATAATACAGAGAAGCACTCAGATAACTATTAATGCCCACATCTCATGCTTTTAGAGCAGCCACTCAGTAGCTCACTGAGATCTTATCTGACACCCTAGTTGGACCCATTTGTTCCTGTTGGTCAGAGCCATAACACAGAAAAGAAAACCAAATCTCTTACCGTGCTAGCTGTTTTCCATGATCTAGCAACACCAATGAGAACATCCAGTCAGGAAGCCTCAAGGGACAACTGGAGTCAGGCAACGTGACTAGATAGTCAGTGTTGTAATTAGCCAATCAATTTTTCTTCAACTGTGGGAGATTGTAACTTGGGGCAGCCTGCCTATATGCTGGGAGGAACTAGGCATGAAAATCCTGCACCTGGATTACCTACCACAGGCTGATTTGTCCATACTGATATTGCTATATCTCAGGCCTGGTCTATGGGGTGGGGGGGAACTGATCCAAGTTATGACGTACTTAAATCTACTTACCGCGGTGTCTTCACTGAGGTAAGTCGACAGCTGACGCTCTCCCGTCGACTCTCACCCTGGTGGAGTACTGGAGTCGACAGGAGAGTGCTCGGCGGTTGATTTATCATGTCTAGACTAGACGCGATAGATCGACCCCAGCTGGGTTGACTGCTGCCCATCAATCCAGCAGGTAATGTAGACAAGCTCTCAGAAAATTAATAAGATAAGTGTATTTATTTGGGTCTTTAATAACAAATAACCCTCTCAATTTGCACCTGTGTTGCTTAGAAAGGGGTGTTAGGTGAGGTTATTAGTATTTTGTTCAGCCCAGTTTTAAGGGTTTTAAGCAACAGGACTATCACTACTTCCACTGAGAGACTATTCCATAGACTAATACATCTCTCCGCCAGAAGAGTTCTCATACCCCGACTCCTGATTTCAACCTAAGTTTTCCCTTCCATAATTTCATCCCAATATTCCTGGTTATATACCCTTTCATCTCTCACTGAATAATTTCTTTCCATGAATAAATACTTACTGTGCTGTTTTTGCAGATTGCCGCATTATCCAGGTAGATGTAACCACCAATAATATTTAATTGGACTCGCAGAAGAACTACAAGCATACACGTACTATACACAGCTACAATGCTTCTGGTAAAACCTTAAAGAGGAAAAAGGAAATAATTTTGAAGTTATATCACTAGGAGGGCAAAGGAGAGCATTCTCCAGAGCTCAGTAAGTATCAGCTTTCATTTTTACAGTCATTTTTTCATGTCATTCCATTTTTCATTCCTTTTCTTAGATCACACACCACTCAAAGAAAGTTCACAACCAAGATGATCACATAAGTCTAAATATGTACAGTAGTGATAGCTAAAATGCTTAATAATATTCACAATCATTCACTGTAAAACATGCTAAATTACACTATTATAATTATTTGCAAAAAGAAAAGATACTGCACAAGTTACCCAAACTATATGCACTTCCAGCTGATTCCTTTTATTGGGCTAATATAAAATGCAAAATGGGGTGTTGTATTGAAATTTCCATTCTTCATTAGGCCATGGAAACAGATTTAGAACACTACATTAGACTTCATCATGCAATTCAGACAAAGGCAGCATAACAGCAGCCTGGGAACAAGAAGCAGCCTGCTAACTACCTAGGATTGGGGCTGATATTGCTTAAGAAAGGAAACGGGAACCAGCATTGGCACTGGAGCAGCCAGCCATGAGCAAGAGAGGATGTCTGGATGGAAGGGTACATGAGGCAACTAGGCAGTAAGTCTGCTTGAGTAGCAAGCAATAAGAACATGAGAAGAAAAGGACTAGGAAACAGGGAAGGAGAAGGAGGGGACCAAATGAACAAAGTAGCATATATAAGAGAGCTGTAGAAGAGAGACAAACAGAACCAAAGGGAGTGGAAAATCAAACAGAAAAAACAGAACACCACATGGTAGCTAGGAGTCAGGAAGGGGTATTCCACCTTGGCCCAATGGTATTTCACTGCACAACTATTCAGCTATGTATACACTATGGCATCCTTCCCTTTCCCTCTACCCCAAAACACGTACAATGATGAAACAAGGGGCTCCTATGGTATGACTGGTTACTATGAACTTGAGAAAAAAAAATCAACAGCTGATAGCATGCTTCTCTCAAGTCAGTGGAGAAGTTTTGCTACTTAGGGAGTATGCCATCACCAAATGCCATAATTGGTTATGAGATTACCCAGTGCATAAGCAAGGCCAGGTTTGCATTTGGAATGCTATCATATTGTCTATGGAGTGACAGAGACATAAAAAAAACCACTAAGCCATATGTCTATTGGACTGTCATACTTACAATACTTTTATATATGGTTGTAAGACACAGGCAACCTGATTAGTTCTATATGCTCAGTCTTCAGTTTGTTTGCAGGATGAAATAGTGGGATGAGATTCCCAATATTGGAATCCTTAATCACTGTTGGATGTTTGGCATTGAAGGCATACTCAGAAAAGTTCAGCTGCCTTGCTCTGGGTATTTTATTCGTAAGCCAACTCAATACACAAGGCCATATTTTATGATCAGCTAAAAGCAAGGTATCCAGCTTCATGACGACAAGTACAAACAATATAAAGATACACTAAAAAACTTGAAAACACGTCAGATAGACCCAGCAACTGGGAAGTAACAGCCCATGTTAGAGCAAGGTAGTAGCAGTTTTGTCATGTTGTCATTAACTGCTTTGAAGCAAGGCACCTTAATACCTTATATGAAAAATCCGACCACCACAGAGCAAGGACACAACAGCTTGCCCCGGTCGGTCATGGACAATCTTGTTTGTCCCACATGTAACTGTGTTTTCGATTCTCACATTGGTCTGACCTCACATATATGTGTTTGCCTATAGAGTTTGCTGAATCCTCATATGTTGACATTGACATGAGACTCTGTCATGAGTCTGGGCTTCAGCAAAATCAACAGCTGATCATATGTACAACTGGACAAGACATTCTAGTAGCAATAATGTATTATTTTTTTTGTTCAGGTTCTTATACTGCGCCCATCACAGTCATTTCTGAGCACCTATCTTGGAGATTCTTCACAGTGGTGCAGAAGGTGTGGCATGCATAGTTCTGCATTGTTATTCCACTCTTCTCAGATTTTCATGAAGGTCTAACAGCCTTCCAAGGCTCAGTGAGATACTTCAGCTTGGCCTCTGACCCTACGACTTTCCAAAGAGATACAAAACTCTTATCCGTAGCACCTTTCTGTGATGGCTTATACTGTATAATGTTGCTATGAAGTGTAGTACAATAGTGACTATATAAACAATATTTGCTGAAGCAAGAGCAACCCACTCCTGTGCACCTAAATGGATATGTATATTCTAAAAGGGGAAGACAAAAGAGATTTTTTTTAGGATTATGCTACAATAATATGTACATAAAAATCTTTCATTTTGACTTACTTATTATCTTTAAATCCTCCCATATTTCTAACTTGTTTGGTGGCCTATTGGGAAAGAAATAATGAAAAATGTTAAAAACATTTACATTCAAAGAGAAACTAGAAAGTATTAAAGAAACTAAAAGAAATAAGTGTGTTGTAAGGCAAGTTAATACAACTACAATAATTACTGAAATTAAGTTTGTGCCCACCCCATCATTTGTTTGTAGTTCAGGAAGAAGTGTGTCTATAATAAAGAACTACAAAATCCTGGAGGTTTTTCAAAACAACTTTCATGTACCAGATTAATTTTTTTGGCAATTTAGATTCTGTAGCTCTATTATCTGGTCTGAGTTCATAAGCTTAGTGACTCAATATTTAAAGAGAAAACCCTGATGATCCAGAAAGCGGTGTTGGTGACATGGGCCCAGATCCTACCATTTGTTTCACACAGACAGACACCTATGCCCACCTGGAGTCCCACTGACTTAATGGGGCTCTGGGTGGGCACAGTGCAGTGCACTGCAGGACCAGAGTCTCAGTGGTCATATTCCTTCTTTCAAGTCGAACCATTGCCAAGTTTGGCTTTATGGAGCACAGTTGATGATTTTTAAAGATGAAACTGAAGCTCGAAAGATTAAACTGACCAGACTTACTAAGGCATGGCACGGCACGATCTTAACACACTGAAATATCAGAGAGATGATGTATCCTCTGAGACACCTGTGGAAAAGAAAATGCCACTCCCACTTTTTTTTTTTTTAAAATAAACAGGCATGTTATCCTCAATGTCTTGGCCAAATGTAACCCTTATTTATTACCTAAATTCTTCCTAATTTTTCATAAGATTATGTAGCCATGCTTATTTTTAAGCATTGCTGATACAGAATGCCTGTTGCGTTCCACTCCAGAGATGACAGCATTTCAGTGCTGTATGAAATGATCCCTGAAAATAATCTGGGAAGTATTTTGTAATTCCTTGGTGTGAAAGGTTACATAAATATCGCTGTTTTTATGTAGGAAACAATGATCTACTCTTGAGTCAGGCTGGAAGAAATTCCAGTAAAATAATAAAATTTAAATTATGATTTTTGATCCCCAATTAATGGTTCTTCATAGATCTGGCTCTCAACACTTCTGGCCATTTTCATCCTTTTGGAAGGAACACACAGAATTTTGGTATTTGTTTAAAATATCAATCAACTGCTCAGTTCTCTAGTAGAGATAATACAACAGACTGAATGAAATAGAATAGGCTATCAAATCTATGACTTTGGTGGACAGATGGAGACACAAAAAGAAAAGGAGTACTTGTGGCACCTTAGAGACTAACCAATTTATTTGAGCATGAGCTTTCATGACGGCTGTTACTCTGAAACCAGATGGAGACACATTAAGGAAGAGACAGAGGAATGCTATGGCATATGTAACAGCAACTCATTACTTATACTTCGCAAAAGAGAATAAAGTGTCAACAATTTTAAAAACTATGTTTTAAAAAAATTGAGGAAAAAAAATCCTATATAAAAAAAACACATACTAGAGCATTCCTTTAAGCCAGCATATTACAGGGCTTGAAAATATACTTGTTCTATTTGTATATAATGAGTACAAAACTTTCCAAGCCAAATGGGATATGGAAGAGGAACCAATGCTATCAACCTTTGCAGAACCTATGTTTTCATCTAAATATAACACCTGTTTCTAGAGCTCGTGATTATAAAAATAACCTTTCAATGTAAACTGATGTGGTCTTCTTAAGTCTCTTAAGTCTCCAATATCAAGCGACAGAAGAGTGAAAACTGACCACAGTCATGCTAGTTTTCACTGTTGCTACTCAGAAGCCTGTAGGAGGCATGTCATAAATATAAAGGGAAGGGTAAACCCCTTTGAAATCCCTCCTGGCCAGGGGAAAGCTCCTCTCACCTGTAAAGGGTTAAGAAGCTAAAGGTAACCTCGCTGGCACCTGACCAAAATGACCAATGAGGAGACAAGATACTTTCAAAAGCTGGGAGGAGGGAGAGAAACAAAGGGTCTGTGTGTCTGTCTATAGTCTGTCTTTGCCAGGGATAGACCAGGAATGGAGTCTTAGAACTTTTAGTAAGTAATCTAGCTAGGTACGTGTTAGATTATGATTTCTTTAAATGGCTGAGAAAAGAACTGTGCTGAATAGAATAACTATTTCTGTCTGTGTATCTTTTTTGTAACTTAAGGTTTTGCCTAGAGGGGTTCTCTATGTTTTGAATCTAATTACCCTGTAAGGTATCTACCATCCTGATTTTACAAATGGGGATTTCTTTATTTCTCTTTACTTCTATTTTTATTAAAAGTCTTCTTGTAAGAAAACTGAATGCTTTTTCATTGTTCTCAGATCCAAGGGTTTGGGTCTGTGGTCACCTATACAAATTGGTGAGGCTTTCTATCCAACATTTCCCAGGAAAGGGGGGGTGCAAGTGTTGGGAGGATTGTTCATTGTTCTTAAGAACCAAGGGTCTGGGTCTGTAGTCACCTAGGCAAATTGGTGAGGCTTCTTACCAAACCTTGTCCAGGAAGTGGGGTGCAAGGTTTTGGGGAGTATTTTGGGGGGAAAGACGTGTCCAAACAGCTCTTCCCCAGTAACCAGTATTAGTTTGGTGGTGGTAGCGGCCAATCCAAGGACAAAGGGTGGAATATTTTGTACCTTGGGGAAGTTTTGACCTAAGCTGGTAAAGATAAGCTTAGGAGGTTTTTCATGCAGGTCCCCACATCTGTACCCTAGAGTTCAGAGTGGGGGAAGAACCTTGACAAGGCAGCAAAACTGACCAGAATCACATAGACTTTACTCTTATTTCTCTGGAAAGCCATAGTTAGCAGCAGAAGCAAGCACTGGAGTTGTTCACTAGGGAAGACAATGTAAAAGAGCAGCTTGGAAGATGGGAGGTGTTGAATAAGGAATACAGTGGCAGACCACTTTCCTGGTCACAACAGCCAGGAGTGCTCTGGTGTGGGAGAGGAGACCAAGATGGAACCAGAATACTCTGAGAAGAAGAAATATCAGATAGGAGCAAGTTTCCTAGGAAGACTGAGGAAATTTTTTCCACAGCAATGCTAAAAAAAAAAAAGTGACCAGCTTTTCATATTTCAGCAGACTTACTAAGGCATGGCACAATCTTAACACACTGAAATATCAGAAAGATGATGTATCCTCTGGGACATCAAGAACTGAAATCTCCATTTCTGCTCCTTTTCATGGTACAAAATAGTAGTGTTAGGAAATGGTGATCCTTTCTATCTGCCTGCTATGTACTCTCTTTCCCTCCTTCAGTCTAAATGACCTCTCACAGACTGAAGTAGTTTGATCCCTCTCTGCCAGAGGAGAAGGTGAGAAAGCATCCCTGCATCTTTGGGCAGAGCCCAAGAATACGTAGCTACTTGAAAAACTCCAGCTTTATACCCAATCCAGTCAGTTACTTCATCTCATGAGCTGTCTCTCCACAAAAAAATAAATCTCACAATCCTACATCCAAGCAAAATGAAATTCAATGCTTCCTCTGCACCAGTGAGCTCAATAGAGGCAATTGATCAGAATGTACCCTAACCTGCATCATTATCCAAAAAGATTATTCATGCTTGCAAGCTACTGTACAGAATCCCTGATCGTCTTAATATCTGTGATCCGGCTGCCCAGCTCTCTCCATAAGAGATTAGCAATTACATGCAACATCTGAATTCAGAAAATTAGATAAAAACAAAACTATATTACTACCTGGCCTGCCCTTTCCCACATCCACTGCCACTGCATGAAGAAAACCAACTCCATTTCACCAACATCTCAGAGCTCACTTACATTTTGACCTGCAAGCTTATCAAAACAATCACCTATTAGATGAGGGATAGCTCAGTGGTTTGAGCATTGGCCTGCTAAACCCAGGGTTGTGAGTTCAATCCTTGAGGGGGCCATTTGGGATCTGGGGCAAAAACTGGGGATTCATCCTGCTTTGAGCAGGGGGTTGGACTAGATGACCTCCTAAGGTCCCGTCCAACCGTTGTATTCTGTGAGAAACAGATCAATTTTTATAGAAGAATACACACTACAGTGTATGACTTCAGCTACTGTGCATCTTTGCCTTATAACAAAGGACACCCAGGACTGTAGTCAAACTTGTTTTGCTGATTAGTTCAGGACATGAACCTGATTGATTGCAGAGTCCCTTAATTATAAATATTTACTTAAAATTTTCTTCAATACATTTCCATTTTAAAATCATGGTTTATTGTGACAAAATTACTGATTTAATATACTGTATAAAATTAACACATCAGCACTGAAATAACGTAGAGTGTTTTTCCACTGTTTTGGCAGTTGACAACTACAATTAAGATACTGTTGGAACATCTACTATAAGTCAATTGCTTAGGGGTTGATAACCATTTTAAATAGCATTAAAAAAATTAGCAAGCGACTTAACGTAACTAAGACAGACAATGACTAGTTAATCAGTTCATTAAGGCTGAACTTTTGAAAAAGCCTTTCCAGATGCTTTTTCAAAAAACAGCAGCAACTTTTTTTAAGTTGCCGTGGTGAAATCTGGTAGCTACAATGCTTTCCTTGTAGCATTAATGTAAGTGAAAGCATCTTCTGATAGTAATGAGGGGACTGGATAGGTCAAAACTGGCTATATGCTGTGTAGTTTTTCCCTTGTAGGTCACTAGTTTCAATACACACCAGATCAAATGTAAAGAAGTCATTGCCACGTGATGGCTGTTCAGTAGCCTAAATTCAATGGGTTGGGAATCACAGCCACAAAAGCCATCACCACAATTGGTAGAGGTATGTCCCTAAAACTGTGCATTACTCATTAGTGTAGAACGTGCCCCTACCTGTTCTACTTTAAATTAATTTCTAATACCTCACTTCTTCCATGTGAGATTACAATTGGAAAGCTATCGTGCATACTTTTCACTTTTCATGCCTGACCTTGATAAGAGTACAGAAACATTTTTACAAATTCACTGTAAGCAACTCATTGAAAGACTCACTGTCCTGTTTCAGATGGGGCCTGATTCTGTAAGCACTTTCTCTGCAGCAATTCCACATGTTAAGTGCTTGAAGCTAGGGCTCTTAGACTAAGTGCTGTAGGGCAAGGATCTTTTCTTCTAATGTTTGTGAAGTGCCATATACATGAAACTACATACTTAATAAATAATCATTTTATTATGAAATAATGAATACCATTACAGACTGTCAATTCAAGGGTCTAGAGAATCAACATTTCTCATGCTCTTTAAACTGCAAATGCATCACTTAAAGCCCAAATCAGGGAAAATTTGTGACTCAGAATCAGTTAGCACATTTTTTAAGACCACCTGCAAAATATTCTTACCTATTTTTCAGTAAAGATGTGAGGCTCTCAGAATTCAACTGATGCATTAGGGCATCCTTCAGTGTTGGAAGCATTGACAGCACTATCATTAAAAGAAAATAAATTGGTAAACAAAGAAAAACAACCAGCCTAAGTGTGTCCCTCTCTACAACAGTCAAGAAAATTCATTTTTGTTTCTTAATTTACAACATACATGGTAGGTGTGTGTGATTGGAGGGAAGGACAAGATACACAGAAGGGGCTGAAAGTACACTACAGCATGACCATAAGATCTAAGGTTTCCAATCATAGTTTAACAAAAGCAAACATTAATTCAATAAGTCTTGTGGAAATCAAACTGGGGTGGCCACTACCCATCTGTTACCACTATTTTTAGACGTTAAGGCAGGCCGTTTTCAGGTTACATCAAAAAAGAAACAGTACAGTCAAACTTACTACGTCATTTTAACAGTATGTAAAGTCACAGGGATGGTTTGCTTCAAAGAAACCCTGGCTTGTTCTGTTTACTGATTGGGAACTCCTATTTGTGCAGGAAGAAACAAATTTGCACCAGCCCATCTAACTGCTCATATCAAAGCCTGATCCGCTTGTCTAGGAACAGGCTTTACAAGAGCTCCAGCTAGAGTATTTCCTACTTCCTAGAGTCTGCACTTGCCTGCTGTTTGCTAAGTTCATGCGTCTATAAACCTCAACTCCAGGCTAGTTCCCAAGTTAGCTATATTTTGTGCCAGGCTTAATTGGCTGATCAAGTTAGACTTTTGTTTCAAGTCCTCCTTTTTCTGTCTCTCAGGTACTTAGATAGCCTCCCTTACTGTAGTATCTGAGTGCCTCACAGTCTTTAATGCATTTATCATCACAATGCTCCATGAGATGGGTAAGTGCTATTATCCCCATTTCACAGATGGGAAACTGAGGCATTGAGCGACTTGCCCAAGATCCCAGAGGAAATCAGTGGTTGAGCAAGAAATTGAACCCAGGTTTCCCAAATCTCAGGCTAGGACCCCAACCATTAAGGCATCTTTCCTCTTTTTAACCGATTCACAATTGAATACTATGCTACCACACACAAACTACAAAATATAGTTCTTAGGGCCTAAATTATTATAATTTATGCTGCAGCAGAATTTAAAGTATGCCAGGTACTTTACAGACATAAGAAAACAGTCACTGCCTCAAAGAGTTATGAACCTGAAAGAAAAAAAAAAACTGAAGGAAGGTGATAGAATGGAACCCAACACAAGCAAAGTGCTCAGGAGGCCGCTTGCACACAAATTGTTAGTGCCACTTGTGTGTCATTATTTTTACAATATAAATAGGAGATATCTAATTATTTGATATATAAAATCTTAAAATGTATATTGCAGCTGGGCCAAAACTAAAATTTGGCTTTCTTCAGTGGAGAAGAAAACACTGATCTTATTTCTAAAGAGGAAGGATGCTGCATATCTGCGAGATCTGTTTTATATTTAAAACAAGAAACACATAAAAGGGATATTGGGGGCCAACTTCCCTTCTTCTTTGAAGATTTCAGAGCCAAATTCCTATCCTGTTAAGAGGATAAAATGAAAGACAGACACGCACAGTATATAATGATAATGCACATAGAAAGAAAAAAAAAAACCCTCAGAGAGATGGTACTTAGTTGGGGTGGATGAGCAGGATAAATAAAACCTAATTTCCTCTGTAGAGTCAACCCAGCCCTATGAAATGGAAAAGTTTTTCTGCTGAGTTAAAAGGAAGTCCAGACTGCTTTCCAAGCACCCTTGGTATCCTCAATCACTTTCAGCAACTCAGGGAGCCGTTATGCACTTCAAAGGGGAAAAAAGAAATGCTGCTCCACTCCTGTGCTACATAAATAACCTTGAACCACCTGTGAATAAATAATTCCCCATCTCTAAAGTACAGATTATGTTGTAATACAAGAATAATCACCACCACCTTAATGTTCCACCTTTTAACTGGTCTATCTTCAAAGTTAGGGAATTATTAAACTGCAAAGTTTCTTACTGGATGTACTAAAGGTTATCTGCCAAGTTAATTCTATGTAACTTAATAAGTGTTTGTTTATATTATTAATCTTGGTGGCTTGCTGTAAATCTACCCGCCCCTTTAGTTTGGCAACCACTTTATTCTTGAATAAGATAGTGCTTAAGGACCTTAGAGAACTTGAACCTACAAGAACTGTAATCTATATTATTATAGAGCCCAATGATACTATTTGAACTATGCCTTTATAAGACAATTATTCAACACTGATGCTTCTGAGTTCTAATTAGCTGCTGTGTTAATTTTCTCCTTCCATATTGTGGGTTTAAATAAATCCCCAAAGGATTCAGTCCCCAAAGGATTCTGTTTATCAGAAAAATGTATTTGCTTGCCTTACCTGTCATATTGCAGGTCCTCTGATTACTTTCAAAATGATACTGCCTTCGTGCTTGGGCAATATATTCAGCTGCTTCTCTTTCTTGGATTTCTTTAATTTTCTTCTGCCCGTATTTTCCCAGTAGGTAGACTCCTATAAAGATATACATTTTTTTTAAAACAACAAGCAGATTTACAAAATGTCATTAAGCTCCTCCTACTTCTGCCCCTTTGTTCTGTTTTACTATCGACCTCTCTCTCTTTATTTAACAAAACCACAACATCATATTCTTCTTCAAGAATCTGGGTATCAACTATTTGGGGTCGAATTTTTCCACAGTACTATTAAAAACTAGAACTTCAAGTTGAAATAAAATGCCAGACATAATGCTTTGAATTTACGCAAGAAATGTCTTCCAAGCAGAGAGTCCTCACAATTTGACAATGGGGCTTCTGGTGCTACTGCAATGCAGTAACTCCTCACTTAAAGTTGTCCTGGTTAACGTTGTTACGTTGCTGATCAATTAGAGAACATGTTCGTTTAAAGTTAGGCAATTCTCCCTTATAATTTGTTTGGCAGCTGCTTGCTTTGTCCACTGCTTGCAAAAAGAGCAGCCCATTGGAACTAGCTGGTGGGGTCTTGGAACGAGGGTGGACCGGCAGCCCCCTATCAGCTCCCCGCTCCCCTAAGTTCCCTGTGCGGCAGCCACCCAGCAGGCTATCAATTGCCGGCAGTTCAGCTGTCACTTCCCCCACTGCCATGTGCTGCTCCTGCGAGCCTCCTGCTTGCTCTGCAGGGTGGGGTATCAGGGTGTCCCCCTACCCCCTGCTTACCCCATCTCCACAGAACTGGGGGGAGACACGACAAGGCTCAGGACAGAGGGAGCTTGCTCACAACAGCTGCTGTCACAACTTGCTGATCTACTTAAAAAGGCAATGTACTTACAGTGCGGTCAGCGTACTTAAAGGGGCAATGCGCATCTCTCTCTCTTACACACAGGGTCTGTCTGCCATGCTGTCTCCCCTCCCTCCATTTGTGCTGCCTTGGAGAGTGTGGGGCTACATTAACAACAATGTGTTAACCCCTGAGGGCTCAGCCGAGTACTAGTTCATCATTTAGCAGTAAGGCATTCCCTCGGAAATATCCCACACTCTGACTTCACCACCTCAACCAACCTTCACAATCATCATTGCTGTGTACAGTATTAAATTGTTTGTTTAAAAACTTACAATGTGTGTGTGTTAGTCTTTTGTCTGCTGAAAAAAATTTCCCTGGAACCTAACCCCACCTCCCCTATTTACGTGAATTCTTATGGGGAAATTGGATTCGCTTAACATCGTTTCACTTAAGTCACATTTTTCAGGAACATAACTACAACATTAAGTGGGAAGTTACTGTACAAACAACAAATATTTAAAGAAGACTGGAGAATGAAAAGCAGACACAATGCAAGAGTGTGGTAGAAACAAAGGGTCAGTGAGAAAAGTTAAATGCATAAAACCCAAAGAAAGGGGGAAGAGAGCGAGATACAAAAGAAAAGAAAATGGATAGCTCAATTTTAGACAAAAATATTTTGTTTAGATATTTGTATGAGCCTGTTAGCAAAAAAAAGTCAGAAATAAATTCCTCAGCATCTGAAGGTGTAGATGAGTCCTAATATACAGAAGTGATTAAATCTCTAACTGGGATGAAAATCACAAAGGCTATCAACCACTTGTGGGCCTGGTCAACACTAAATATTTTGGTAGACCTGGCTATGTTACTCGGGGTGTGAAAAATCCACACTGCAGAGTGACACAGTTAAGTCAACATAATCCCTGGTGTAGACAGTGCTAGTCAATGGATAAATTCTTCCATCAGCCTAGCTACTGCCTTTTGGGGAAGTGGATTACCTACACTGATGGGGAAAACCCCTACCATCACTATAGGGAGTACATATACTCAAGAGCTACAGTGGTGCTACTGTAGTGTTTCAAACGTAGATAAGCCCTTATTGGCTTCAGGGATCTGCTATATACAACACATTGCAGGATCAGGGGCCTAAGATAACCAGCAGCTGGGATCAAGAAGAAATCTCCCTTACCTTATAATATTGTAGTATGGTACAATTGGCAGAGGACACTATATAGGGGTTCACTGTCCACTGAAACATCTAGCACTGACTAATGGCAAAGACAAGATTCCAGACTTCAAGGGAAGTCCTGCCCTATTCCTGCTATGCTTCTATTAAAAAGACTTTGAGCACTTGTTTCATGTCATGACATTGACAGATTTAAGTAACTTTTCCCCAACTGATCAATGGTTAATGTTATTTTTATATTCATTGTACTTGAGCTTGGACAAGAACACCACCTCAATCTTAGAATGTTGAAATTTCCTAGATTACCAGTCAAATTGATGTTTTAGAGGACATATATGGATAAGCATCACTGCTATCTGACCACATACATGCGTTTTTCTACACTAATTCTCTTCATACAGCTCTTCTCATTGGAGAGAATCACATAACAGTACACAGAACAAGTTTAGATATTGACTCAAAATTCCTCTTGATGCTACAGTGCACTTACAAAGCTGTATAATACAAATCTACACTTTTCCCCCCCAACTGAATCAAGATTCACAGGCTACAAAGTAAATATTTGAAAGAGGAAGCAAGTTACTACTATAAACCCGAACAGTATTTAAGCCCTGGTCTACACTAGGACTTTAGGTTGAATTTAGCAGTGTTAAATCGATGTAAACCTGCACCCGTCCACATGATGAAGCCCTTTTTTTCGACTTAAAGGGCTCTTAAAATCGATTTCCTTACTCCACCCCTGACAAGTGGATTAGCGCTTAAATCGGCCTTGCTGGGTCGAATTTGGGGTACTGTGGACACAATTCGACGGTATCCCAGAGTGCTCTATTGTTACCGCTCTGGACAGCACTCTCAACTCAGATGCACTGGCCAGGTAGACAGGAAAAGAACCGCGAACAGAAAACCCCCACTGAGATAAATGGGTCAGTTCACATGTCTCAGAGCTATTATTATTATTGTCATGCTGTATTCATCTCCATGGGATGGTCTGATCCACACCCTCCCACCCCCAAGCACATCCTATTGAGATGAAACACTTCACACCTCAGTAATCCTCCTATATTGCTGATTCCCCTAGCTCTACCCTATTCCTGAAGTGTGGAATATGAAGTCTGGGGCTTCCATCCACTTCCCCTTGCTCTCTCCAGCAGGCAGATGTGCTCCTCACAGCCCATAGGTTATCATTTTATTTCCTTCCCATTGCCCTTCCATTCCTACAGGTACAGGTCAGCTCGACCCGAATCTTTAGATCTGACCCGAGCCTACCTGGCCTGATCCTGAGAGGGCTGAGTCATTTACTAACCTGACCCGGACCCATTCCCCCGAAATGGAGTCAGCCACCTCCTGTCTATAGGGTCAGTGCAGCAGTGGATGCTTGTATCAGTGGCAAAAAGAACAGGAGTCTGTGTGACTGGCTCCTGCTGTCTGCCACCACTTGCTGAACCGACTCCTAAACAGACTCTCGCTCTGCACTGCAGGCAGCTGGCAGGAGTAGGGCAGGCAGTCGCCACTGTGCCAACCCCCCCATACCTCCAAAGGGTCCAGTTTTTTTCCCCCAATTGATCCAGCCCCAACACTTGTAGTCAGGTCCGTTGGGTTTGGGTTGGGTTACAGGGCTCTACTATGGGGGGAATAGAGGAGCCAGGAGGAAGGCAGAGCTGTTAGCCAAGTGGCTCTGAGACGCCCTCTTGGTATAAGGCCCAGGTACAGGCAGCGATAGCTCTGAGATGCCCTCGGGAAGCAGGGCCTGCTAGATCCAGCTATATCAAAGCTGGCTCAGGTACAGCTATGCTTGCTGCAATCACACCTCCCAAGTGTAGCGTAGACATGCCCTTTGTGTCCCAATCTGCCTTGACAGATGTCTATCTTTCCAGATAAATACAGAGCCCTGTGGGGACACAACACATGGGTACAGTAAAAGAAACGGTTAGTGTGCTTATAATTTGATCACTTGCTGCCAGGTATTACCAGCCCTTAACGCTTGCCTTAAGGACTCCATCTGGAATAACACCCACACTTACCTCTGCCCTGTAGCGTACTGTTAGGTACGCTACCAGACAAGCACAAATCCCCACAGCAGGGACAAATTATTGCGCCTAACTAAACTCTGTATTTCCTGGTTTTCAGACATTTACTTATAGGTGCATTCAACATCGTGGAAGCATACATGGCACTGCCAGTCTACTAAGTTTTGGGGCAGTGTCTTTTCCAAGACTGGGGCTAAAATGAGGATATGGGATGTTTTTATCAGTGATGGCAAATGTGCATTTCAGCTAAATACACAGCTAGCTTACTGAATTATTGCAATAGTTAGTACCTGTAAGGATGATACAAAATATGTAATGGCTTTCCAATGTTGCAGTATGAATTTTGTTAAACTATCATTAAAAACTTAAATAATTCAAGGTATGTGTTGCTTTCAAGGCCTTCAAATTAATTCAGATTTATTAGCAACTGAATGGGCACATCCTAAAAGTTTTATTGATATTGTTTGCTTCAGCTGATCCTCTTAGTTTCCCCACAAGCAATAGGGGGACCATGGTCCTTGGTAACATTTTAGTAAAACTCAATCACTATGGAAACTAACATGGTAACAGGAGGAAAATATTTTAAAATACTAGCTGCCTCATTGGCTACTGTGCCATCATCCTCTCCACAGAACTGCAAAGAATAAATACCATGTAAAACCCAGATCTGTCTGTTGTGCTTCTTAAAACCACTGATTTTGCATCCCAAAATTATTCACTTTTATGCATTTCATTCATTCATATAGTTTTCAGCAACCCAATTAATCAATTTAAGTTATTTTGCCCCAAAAGTTATATATGAGGTGTAAGCGCAGAGGAAGCATGCCCATCCGACATACGCAGCAATCATTGACCGGCGATATCCCCGAAGCAGGAGTGTCGCCGGGGCTGCAGGCTGAGCCGAAGGGCACGGCCAGAGAGGCAGCAGATTACAGCGCGCTCCGTGGGGTCCCGGGCAGCCCCATTCCCTCGCAGGGGGCGCCGCGGGGGCTGCCAGCGGCGGGGTGGGCACGAGTGTTTCCCGAGGGCGCCCCGATCTGAAAGCGCCCCCGGCCCCGGCCCCCCCACACATGGGGGACGGCGCAGGGCACGGCTCGGGGGGGGGGGGGCTGTGGCTCCCGCACCGGCCTCCTACAAAGGGGAAGTGCCCGGCGGGGAGAGACGCCGGGGAAAGGGGGAGTCCGGGGCGGGGGAGCGGCTCAGAGGCGGGAAGGGGGGGGCGGGAGGCCGCGGCCCGGGGCGGGTCACTCACCGCCCAGGAAGGTGCCCAGGAAGAGACATTTCTTCTTGTGGCGCTTGAGGAAGCTCCACAGGGCTCCCAGCATCTTGCCCCCGGCCCGGCCGCCCCCAGCCCGGACCAGCCGAGAGAGGCCGCCGCCGCCTCAGCCCCCGCGGGTGCCGCCGGGCGGGGAGAGGCGGCCGCGCAGGCACCGACACGCCCCCCAGGCCGCCTCCCCGCGGTGCCGCCGCCGCCCGGCCCCCCCCGGAAACAGCCGCTTCGCGCGCCGCGTTCCGGGCCCGGCCGGCGGGGGATGGAGGCGGCGGCGGCGGAGCGCTGGATGGACCGAGCCCTGCGCATGGTGAGTGCGGGGCCGCCGGGCGCAGGAAGCGGGGGCAGAGCCCGAGCTGGCCGAGCCCCCGGCGTGCAAAGGCTGGAGAGCGGCGCTTGTTGTTATTTGTAGCCCCCGGGCACCTAGGCGCCCCCCCCCCGCCTGGTCCCCACCATGCTCGGCGCTGGACGGAGCCAGGACAGCGCCCGGATCCCGGCCCCACGGAGCTTACAGGCTCGTTGGCGCCTGTTAATTTCTTGACACAAGCCCAGAGCGGCATCTCTGCAGGGGAAGCTGCTGCACCCCCTTATAACTGAGTTAAAATAGGGGTGTGGGGGTGTGTGCGGGGGCGAGGTAATATCTTGTATTGGACCAGCTTCTGTTGGTGGGAGAGACCAGCTTTGGAGTTACTCAGAGCTCATCTTCAGGTCCAGGTTAAAAGACACCGCTGGGGTTAAACTGGTGCAGCTTTGTGCCTAGACTGGAGCTGGGGCACCGGGGTGTTGGGCTCCAGCACTCAGGGCTTGTCTTCCCTAGAGTTGGCTACTTTGAATTAATTGGCCAATCCGTTCACTTGAGGCAAAATAACTAGCGAAGGCAGAGAGCTGGACAGCCCAGCAACTGCAAGCCTGGTACAAGCAGCTGAGTGAAGTCTGAGTCTGGGCACTGGATTTAGTATGTTTACTCACGAGTGACCAAAAGTCAGCACCTCAAGTTTACCCCTCATCTAAGGGCACAGCTACACTAGAGAGTTCAGAGTAGCCCAGCTGCATGGGTACAGTCAAGGTCACCGATATCTAAAATTACCCTTATGGAGCTTACAAATCAGGATGTGGACATAAACTGCAAGCAAAGTGTCTGGGTTAGTGTCTCCTGGACTAGGGAGGTGTCAGTTGCACCTTTCTGCAATAGGCCGGCCCTCTGTGCCTGAAGGAGATTCACCCAAGGGAGGGCAGGCAGGAGTATAACCATCTGCCTGCCTTCGTGGATTGTACATTGAGTGAGAGCCATAGTAGCCACACCAGAAGATGTTTGAATGCGTTCAGTCAGTCTCTCATCACATTCTCATCCTGATCAGCACTCCCACATTTGTGGTTACGCTGCCTTCATGGAAGGTGTATGTGTTGCTGGTTGCACAATATTTTTGCCACAAGGTTTTCTGGGACGAAACAGGCCCTTTATTTAGAAAAGACATAAAATATCTCAGGTCTGTCTTCTGACTGGAATAGGGTTACCATACGTCCTGGTTTTCCCAGACATAGTCTCTTTTTTGAGCTTCCTTTCTCTGTCTGTGTGGATTTTTCTAATAACAGGAAATGTCCAGGGTTTTTGCAGAGCAGCTCAGAAAGAGCTCCAGTTGGTCCCTCCCTTGCATCCTCAGCTGATTGGTTCGTTCCCCTGCAGCCACAGTTGCTGGATCCCGCACACCTAGGCCCCAGCTCCCATTCCTGGGGAGAGGGTCCTGCCGGGAGGCACTGACTGATGGCTATTGCTGTGCCCCGGGCTTGCACCAGCCACACAGCCACCATGACAGGGAACGTCACTGCCCCTCATCTCCAGTGAGTACTTCTGCTGTAGGTACCCCCTCCAGTACCCCCAACTGTACCCCTCCCGCTCCCCCTTCCCCCCATGCTCCCTCCCTCTCTGGCAGTGTCCTCTTTTTTGGGAACCTGCAATATGGTAAACCTATACTGGAAATACAGAAAGAGCTTCTGTGGCAGAGTGTAACTTTGCCATCAAGTGTACAGTATATACAAACACAAACAGCAATTAGGTTTTATTTTGTCTGCGCTTTATCATTAACATTTCCTCCTCCACCCCTAATTTTCTTGTGTGTCTTGCAGGCTAAAGAAGCATTGGAAAATGGGGAAGTTCCTGTTGGCTGCCTTATGGTCTACAACAATGAGATCCTAGGAAAGGGGAGGAATGAGGTGAATGAGACTAAGAATGTAAGTCACAAAAAAAGCCCTATCAAAAAGTACACACTACGTGCAATGGGAATTTCACAATTGACCTCAGTGGGGCCTGGATTTCCCCCATATGTGCACATTTTGTTTTCTTTTCATATATGTTTCAAATTTCTGTCTCTGCACACCTAACCCCTCTTTTCAGTAAATTAGCCTTTCTGTCTTTTTTTTTTTTTTTTTTGCTATCACTTTTTGCATGTTTATTTTTCAGAGCATGGTCTAGTTATTTCAGTATGCTTTTGCTATCACCTGGGACATTTGTGTACTTACTGACTGTAATTTATGTGAGTGATGGATTTCAGAAGTTTCCACTTATCTACTTATCAGTAATTCCTCTAGGTAGAGCTATTTATGACAAGAAATAAACAAAAATCAGAAAAGGAAGTTGATATACACAGATATAACATGGCTATATACAAATACATATATTATACCTTGTATATTTTCCTGAATTCATATTTACAGTTAAAGCAGCATCCAAATTTCCTGTGACTATAGGACACTGAAGATAATGCATTATAATGTAGACTACTGGTAATTTTTATTTTTTTCCGTATATTTGTGGACATCATAAATTATGCAGGAGAGCCTTGCTAATTCATACTAATGACTGGGAGAGATGACAGATAATTGATTTTTTTAGTTTAGCATTTAAATGAACAAAACAAGGATATCTCTTTGCAAAATGTACTTTGACCAGTGTAGTTAGGTTTTATTTACTTACAATAATACGTCATAGGATTGATGTTAGTGTATGTTCTCAAAAGTTAGTTTTAGTAATATGAGACCTAACTCTAGTATTCTTCTATGAAAACTTCCCTGGGAAGAAAGACAATACCAGGACTACTAGTTTTGGTATGCAAGTTATAGGATAGGCATTTTCGCAAAGTTCAACTGTATTGTTTACCCAAATTATGTCAATAACAAAGACTTTTGCTATACTGAATTTCTGCTTTCAATATTTAGACCCAGTTCTTGCAATCAGATCTGTGTGGGTGGATGCTAAGCCCCACAGAGCCCTATACAAGTCAATGGGGCTCTGTGCAGGTAGAAAGGTTTGCCCCCAAATGGATCTGATTGCAGATTCAGGTCCTCGATTTGTATTATGTCTCATCCAGTCCAAAAACAAAATTAAAAAAAGGAGGCTTATAAATTCAGTTTCAGAGAGATGGTAGTAAGTCTAATGACCCACTTCCATTTGTGTTAGACGATAATGCACAACCTTTTTGTAACAGCTTTGCTTCTCATCTCTAGTTAATGAAAATTAGAAGTGTAGTACATGTTAGGGGGTTCAGTTTAAAATCCTTATGAACACTTCTCCCATCACTGAAATACAGGCACCTCTTGGATGACCTACAACACGTATTTAATCAGTACTACACCATTATTTAGAAAATAAAGTGAAGAATACTAAATCCAATTAGGGAGAATGTACTGTTATAAGACAGAATGTAACGGTAGAAGTCAATCACAAAAAATCAGCAGTAGCATCTCTACTCCTACAGAAAAAAAGCATGAAGGGAACTTTAGGCACCCAAGTTTCACATTTTTGTGGCTTGATTTTCAGAAGTGCTGAGCACACACCACTCACATTGAAGTAATTGGGAACTGAGGGTGCTCAGCACTTCTGAGTATCTCACCCTTGTTCTTCAGTGACTACAAGCAGTCTGGGTCTTGAATGAAAGATGGTGTTACAGTGGGGTGACCAGATAGCAAGTGTGAAAAATCGGGACGGGGGTGGGGGCAGGGGGTAATAGGATTCTATGTAAGAAAAAGCCCCAAATATCGGGATTGTCCTTATAAAATCGGGACATCTGGTCACCCTGTGATTACTTACTAGAAAATATGTAAGCAGGAAAAAACCAAAATGTCTTCAATATTTCTCCTCGTATTTTCTCACACCATTTTCTGGCATTAGTTGACTAGGCACAAAGTGAACTGCTAAGGGCACTCAACATCCCTTCTCCCTATTCCAAAACGGGTCATTTTTGTCGAAAGATTTATTTTCTGAAATCTCTCCAAATTTTGCCAGCAATTGAAATCTCTGGTTATTCTGCATATTGTCACATATGTTCTCTTTCTGTTCCATATGCCAATAGCAATATATGTAAGACTAGTGAGGCAACCTCGTCTACCAGCCTTATCTTAAAATTGTTTATCATCTGGTTCCTCCTTCTTGCTAAGGTTGGGGATAGGAGGAAGGGCTGTATATATTACAGAATCTTTCGTGTTGCTTAGTAGGAGCATGTATTTAGATTCAGCCCTTCAAGATTGTTAGGCTTGTCATTACTTGAATTTATTGGGCAACAGTGCAACAAATATCTTTGTAAGGCATTCTTTTTAAACAACCTGGCAATAGGTGCACAAGACCTAGCCAGCATTGTTTTCCCTCTGGCAGCTCCCACGCTTGCCTGATTGTTCTCAGTCTTTCCTCAGACAACCCTACTATTTCCTCTGTAATAATACATGTGGCCTTCCCAGCAAGAAACATTTCTGGAATTTGTTTATGTGCAGGCATACCCCTCCCACTAAACTGTTATCCCTTTAAGATGCTTTGTTACCACATGGAGGCTTCTCCTCTCTATTTATCTCCTGTTTAGTCATGCCAGCATGCGTCTTTGCCCAGAGCATCTTGCAAGTACCGTGTGTAATCACTGAAAAGGAAATTTTGTTTTCACTCATAAATTACTAATGATGCCCTGAGATAAAATAGAACTACCAGCTTTAGCCCTGTCACTCTCACTTGTTGATTCTTGTGTAAGATTTAGATTGTTCTTCAGGGCAGGATACTTTTGGGCACTGTATTAATAGCATCATAAGTTTCTTCCCTAATGACTTCACTTTCAGGTAATGCCTATTCTTCCAACACCTTTTATTGCTCTTCTATAACAATAATTATTTTCTTATTCCATCGTTACTGTTTATCTGTTTTTTCCTTTATACAATAATTAATTAATATGTAGCACACAAATGCTATGCAAACAGTAATTTTTATATATTGGTCTTAAAGGAGATTATAAATGGACTTATATGATGTAATATGAAAGTGACCACATGGACAACCCATATGAAAATGACACATAGGTTTGTTTCAATATACCTGTTCACAAAGTCATATTTTAAGGCCATGTGTTGTTCCACTAATGTGGACTCAATCCTCATCTACATCCAGCTCATGGTTGGTGCAGTTGAGTTGGTGTGGGGGCAAGCAGAAGTGACTCTATCTTCATGCCTCCTGTGATCTTCAGGGCATACTTTAGAGCAGTCAAACAGGGCTGCTCTAAATTACATTGACTATGATGGTTTCCTGGGAATCAGTCTGCTGGCCAGGGATTAATGGAGTGCAGTGAGCTAACTCCCAGGCACTCTCAATGCACACAGCCTTCATAGATTCTTAGGGTCCGAGGCCAGAAGGGACTGTTGTGTCAGACTAGATGATCATAGGCCATACACTTTCCCCAAAATATTTCCTGGAGCATAAATTTTAGGAAAACATCTAATCTCAATTTAAAAAATTGCCAGTGATGGAGAATCCACCATGACCCATGGTCAATTGTTCCAACGGTTAATTACCCTCACTGTTAAAAATGTACACCTTATTTCCACTCTGAATTTGTCTAGCTTCAATCTCCAGCCATTAAATCGTGTTATACTTTTTTCAGCTAGATTGAAGAACCCATTATCAAATATTTGTTCCCTATGTAAGTATTTATAGACTGTAATCATGGCACTTGATAAACCTTAACAAACCTACTCTTTGTTAAGCTAAATAAATTGAGCTCCTTGAGACTGTCACTTTGTTTTCTAATCCTTTAATCATTCTCATGGGTCTTCTCTGAACCCTCTCTGATTTTTCAACATCTTGAATTGGATCCTTCTGGATACCAGAACTGGACACAGTATTCCAGTAGCAGTTGTACCAGTGCCAAATACAGGGAGGAAATAGCCTCTCTACTCCTACGCAAGAGTCCCCTTTTTATGCATCGATGGATTGCATTAGCCTTTTTGGCCACAGCATTGCACTGGGATCTCATGTTCAGCAGGTTACCTACCAGAATCCTCAAATCATTTTTAGTGTCAACCTTCACTGAGGAATCCTCAGCTACCATATTAAGGCAATGTTAAGGTCACATTTCATCACTAAGTATGTGGGAATTACATCTAAATATTGATTTAGATCCACATATAGATTCTAAATGTGAATCTAAATATGAATTTACAATTATTAGTTTTAGCAACATAAGATTTTATTAGTAACCTATTTATCTGTATACATGGGCCCCATCACCTTAATATCCAAGCACATCACAATCAACAGTGAATTTAGCTTCATGGCACCCTAATAAGGTATTATTCCTATTTTACAGATTGAAAATAAAGTCACAAAGATGAAGTGACTTGGCCAGCATCACACAGGAAGTGAGTGGCAGAGCCGGGAGTTGAACTCAGATCTCCCACATTCCAGTTCAGTGCTGGGTAACAAAAAAAATCCTTTTCCTAACTAAGGATTTAAAAAAATAAAATTATCTAGGCAATATTCATTCAAACACGGCTACTCTCTGATACTTGATACATTGCCACTGTAATAGAAATGAAAATAACTGATTTTTAATAAACAAGGCGTAGCCCATCTTGTTTTTATTAAAAAGAAATAATTTTATGGTGGTGTGTTCTCATTTCACTTGAGTGGATAAGGTTAATAGGGGTAATATGTTTAAAGTTGCAGATCAATGCAAGCCTTTTTTGTCTCCCTATTAATTCCCAGGCTACTCGACATGCAGAAATGGTAGCAATCGATCAGGTCCTAGACTGGTGTCATCAACACAACAAGGATCCTTCGGAAGTTTTTGCACACACAGTGTTGTATGTAACTGTAGAGCCTTGTATTATGTGTGCAGCTGCCCTGCGCTTGATGAGTATCCTTTGGTTCTGATTCATGCTGGGAAACCATATCTTGGTATGTTACTTTCAAGTAAATCATTTGGTAATGAACCAGTGGAGAAGAGCTTGATGTTGTCAAACAAAGCTTTATAGGGTACCGGTGTATCTGCTCAGAGAACGTGCCCATGCTACAGTTCCTATATGGAGGCCATATGACCAAGGATGAGTGATTTAAGGATAAGAGAAAGCAATTTGCAAACCTGGCAAATACATTGTTTTCTCTTAGGGGTGTGAAAGTAAATCTCAGAAAGAGCCTGTTACTGTATACAATTAATTAATCCCACGCAAGTGTCCAGTTTTAGAAAATGTAACAAACTAGTTATATGTTGTTTCCAATGTGTCCCCTTTGGGATCTCTTCTCTCCCATCTTCAAAGGCTAGAGCAGGATGACCCCATCCTTCCATCTGCAGAAGGCATGCTCCATGTGTTACCCAGAACAGCCAGCCCAGGAGTGAGGGTTGAGTGCAGACTAATTTTATTAAGAGTACAGGCACAATTTACTGAACTCAGATGGCCAGTAAAATCAGGATACTCTGCTTCATACCACTCTTTTCTCATTAACTTAGTTCCTTAACTCTTTCATATAAATCCCACTGGTTGTATATGGCTGTCAAAATGAGCGATTTGGAGGTTGTGGCTCAGTCTTGAACATCTCCTCTGCTAACTTAACAGACCCTGGGGAACCATTTCAGGTAAAACATCAAGATGTGTGCCTTCTTGTATTTAATGTTTAAAACAATGAATGTAGTTACAGTTGGTGATGAGAAACTGAGATAGTGAGGCTGTAAAAGGGTTTCTGACATGAGCAAGAACATACTGATCACATCACAACATAAGCACCTGCTTTTTAGATTGACCACCCTGCTGATCAGTGGTGGGATAGAGAGGAAACTTGCTTGTAAGACTACAGTTTGAGAGCTTTGTGCAGTCTTCTCCTGAAAGATTATTCTGATATTCAAGCTGAAAATGGGTATTAGCTCTCAGATATGCCCAACTATGTAAAGGAAAAGGCTACTTCTATAGTAAATGTTTTTTTCAAGGAATTGCAGTGGGATGAATGTGTACAAGTTAGCTTCTTTTTAAGTGGGTGTACTCTCTGCAATTAGTGGTGTTATTGAAAACATCCTAGCTCGTTATTTTTCCTATCATTCCCCTTCACATATTTGGGCAGGTTACTGTACATTTTGTGGGTGGGAGTGTTACTTTTGAAGGGCCAAGGAGGCCTCAGAATTGATTTCTAGGAATAGTATCATAGAAGAACTACTTGATAGGAACCTAATTTACAAATACCCACTTGCATGTTTCTTATATTCCCAAGAGTTAGTGTGATTTACAGAAGTAATCGGAAAGTACACTGCTAGTATGTGGAGGAGGGAAGGGTGGTTGCAGAAGAGTTTTTGTTATAATTCCTATGGAGGATGAGCAGGTCTGCCAACTACTATGCTAAGCCTCAGCCTAATTTTAAAAACAGACAAGGTCTTCATCCTGAAAATGAGGGTTTCTGATCACAGATAATTAGAGGTATACTCTCAGTAAACAGAAAAGGCAGTACAAATTCTGTGCAATTATCCTACACCTCAGGTATTACTGTGTGGCACAAGGCATCTTGGTTTTGGATGCTTTAATGAACATAGAGTTCTAATTTCAACAGTGCATTGCTGGTTATCGCGCTGAAGAAGCAGTGGACATGTTAAAAACCTTCTACAGACAAGAAAATCCAAATGGTAAGTTTCCTTTTTTTTTTGTTGCAATTACCGTAACCCTAATCATAAGTTAAAAGAATTCTGGCACAGGCATTGTCATCTTTCACTTTCCATGTCCTTTTTTCCCCTCCATCCTTTCTGGCAGCACCGAAATCAAAAGTACGGAAAAAGGAATGCAATAAGTGATAGTCCTCTACTGATGGAAAACTGAAAGATAACAAAATAATGTTTTGTGGGAAAAGATCTCTTCAGAGTTCCCTTTGATACAGCATTTGGGTATGGAATGGAAACATTAATGAACTTCAAATATGTTTATCTGTATGGTTTCACTAGTTGAATGTTATTGGTTTCTGTCATTTTCTATGGCGAGTAGGTTGAATGATTTTTAATCACCAAACATAGCCTTTATGAAGAACATATGGCTTCTGTTTGGTGGGGAATATTTTGAATTTTAGTTCAGACTGAACTTCTTTTCAGCCATATAGATTCAGCGCTCCATTGGAGTAACTGCCATTCTGTACAGCACATGGATGAATATCTGTGTCCTTTCGTCTATGGAGCAGCCTCTTGCTGTTAGACCAAAGATACTTGTAGAGACTAGATCAGTACCAAAAGTGGATAAACAAGCCCCTTAGAAAGTTACTTTCATATACATATCATACTGCATATTGAATTAGAATACAGTTAGGAGTTACAAGAGGGTAACAAAAGGACAGTTAAGCAACTATACCGATCTTGAAAACTGAGATCAGACCAATGTAACAGTTCATTGTTTTCCACTGTATATCTACTGTAGGCCAAACTTTCAAAGAGCTTCTGAAAAGTCACATATGAAAAGGCAGATATTTATACAAAATTACATGTCAGACTACTTGATTTGCATAAACAAATGGTGATTTGCATAAACAAATTCCAGTTTTGCCTGCATAATATTTGTACGTGAAGGTTTTGGAGGTTGCCATGAAAGTTGGTCCCTCTTACCCCTCTCTTGAATGTTAGCATATAGAAAAAGATTACAGTTAAGAATTAAATCCACCAGTCAGTTGGACTCATTCTAAACTACTAAATCATGGCATTTGAAATGTGTAATCACAAATGTGAAAACTAGGAAAGGAAAATGGCAGTAAGAAAAAGAGAACCAGATGCATGACAGTCTACCTTTTGGAGCATTTGTTATTTAAATGTCACTTACATATGCTTTTGCTTGGCCATGCTGTAATTCATAATCCAGAAGAGGGCCTTACTGTTCCACTAATGAGTAAAAAATATAGGTCCAAGTTGAATCCTTGATTATATTGCTTTTGGTGGATATTTATCTTGAGGAAAAAACATCTTGTGATTTAGTCGGTTGATTTGCAGAAATTTTGAGAAATGTCTTATTTTTTATTACAGAAGAGAGATTAGAATTCTATGGATACAAAAGTCAAAATCATGGTACAATTACATATTTTCTACAATTAGAGTAACATGTTGAAAAAGTGGAATTTTTTGGTTTTTATGGTAAAATAAAAAAACTAATTTGCCACCAGTTCCCCCAACACCTTGAAATTTATTTTTATACAATTTTCTCAATGCTTATAGTTTACTGAATGGAGGGAAAAGGAACTAAAAAAAAAAATTGTGTTGGGCTCCTATATGCTATTTTTAAATATTACTGTTATTTACAAGATTTTAAAATTATTCCTTTTGTTTACATTTTCAGTCTATTGAATTTCCTGACCCATTGGACCTCAGTTGCTGCTGGTCTGAGTCTTTTCTTTCCTATAACCAAATAAAATGTTACTGCATTTGTAGATTCATCAGCATCAACAGAGATTATGTACTGCTGAAAGGAGATTCTGTCAATTCCCTTCCTTCAGTAAGCAAGGGCTGCAAGGGACCCTGAAACAGACTGCCTAAATATCCACAATTTAGATAACATAGGTCCAGATCTCACTGTGGGGACGGATATACCAGTGGTTAAGGCACTTGACTGGTGGCTGGGATAGGAGTTAAATTCCTGGCTTTAACACAAGCTTCTTTGATTACTTTGAACAAGTCATTTTAAGGCCCAGATCCACGAAAGGTATTTAGGTGCCTAATTCCCTTTGAAATAAATGGGAGTTAGGCACCTAAATACTTTTTGAGGATCTGGGCCTTATACTCTCTGCCTCCATTCTCCATCTGTAAAATGGATACCAATACTTCCCTATCTCACTAGTGTGTTGAAAGGACAAATTAATTAATATTTGAAACTGGTCATGGGAACCATTTAAGTACATAGATCACTGCTAATAGGAAAATTAAATAGTTCTGAAGCCATGCCTGATTTTGCCATCCTTACTTACATTGAGGAATGCTTACTTGCATGAGGAGTAGTCACTGAAGTCAATGGGACTATTCACATGAGTAATAATTGAGCAAGAACCAGGGCTGAAGAATCAAGCTGTTGGGTAGCAGGACTGCATAACGCACACGGTACAGCTGAAGATGGTTGACACAGTGAGAGTCTATCTAGGACTTTTGAACTGGGACAAAAGATGGCAAGTGGGATTCTTTAGAAGAAACCCATCTTAGAGGGAGGTTCTTCTTTCTCTAAAATTGTCAGGATATTGATCCTTGTGAGAGGCCAAATATATTGCTGGGTCATATTTCAGATAGCAGGGGTGAGAAAGCCGTACCCAAACCACTGGCTTTTTCTAATCTGGTCAAATTCTAGCTTCTAGGACAAAGTTATAATGAAGTGAAAAAACCCAGACTAAATCTGGTGGTGACATTTCTAAGTCTCTGGTAGGGTTGATTATCCCTTCAAACAGGTAAAGCAGAAAAGAAAAAAAGGCCAGTTACAGGCTCCTAAAAATCTTTTCAGTGCTAACCCACCTGAAATCAGTGGGACCGCTCATGCGCTTAACTGTTTTCAGGATCAAGGCTTTAGTCTCTATTACCAACACTTTTTGTAGTATTAGAACTGATGCTAAATTTGCATGTTCCCCAGCCTCATGTTGGTCTGTTGGGGTTCCAAAATGGACTCTCCTGGGTATTGATGAATCCTTGATGAAGGACTTGAAAGGGAACCAATTTCTCTCCTCTGAAAAAGCAAAATTAGGTTACAAAACCTATTTCCTTGTTATGGAAAATATTCATGGATTTTAGTCTCTCTCTCCTGACTTGAAAAAATACATTGATAGATCAATAGATAAAGATACTCCTAACAGCTACATGCCCCCAAAGCCTGTTAGAAAATGTTGGCGTTGTTGTATTGTACTGTATTTATATTGGGTGCCTCAAGTCCTATTAACTGCTGTTGCGGCTGTAGGTGTTCAATACATTTGAAAATTATGTACCTAAATACGTGTCTGAGTTTTAGGCAGCTGAGTTTGAGAAGTTTAACCTAATAGAGAAATCGAGCTATGTAAAAAATCTACAGGCTTTATAGTGTGTCCATTTAGAACTGGGACGTAACCTACCTTTTAGTTATTCTGTCACCTTAAACAAAAAATCTTAGTCCTAAAATTCTTGGGCTCAATTCTTGCTGCTCTCGAAACTAATATATATATTCCATTTTATAATATGCCCTTTTCACCAGCTCAGTGCACATTTACTTAATCATTAAAACTGCATAAATTAACACATCACATTTATAAAACCATAGAAGAAGCCTTCAGTGTAAAATAACCAATAAACCCCTCTAAGCAAAATTATTCAAAATAAAATTGTGCTTCTCAAATCTACTACAATATTTTGCATGCATTAACAATATAGGGGAAAAGAAGAGCCAGATGACACAATTTACTGGGTTTCTTATAAACCTTTGAATGTCCCTCAGAAAAGGCTATTTAAGTAGGAAGGGAGTGAGAGATGAAGTTCTGTTATTGAGTAGAAATTAAAAGGGCCATTTTCAACACGGCAAAAAGTTAACAACGGAGTACCCGAAATATCAGGACCTGTATTGTTTCAATACGTTTATTATCGATTTAGAAAAGGTAGTGAACAATGAAGCAGTAAAGGTTACAGATGAAACAAAATTCTTCGGATTAGTCAAGAATAGAGAAGACTGGGGGATTTCAGAGGGACCTAACAGGATAGGTGAATCAGCAACTAGATGACTGATAAAATTCAAGATGACAAAGGCAAGGTAATATACTTTTGTAAGAAATAATTTTTGCTACTTGTGCATATTGCTGGATTCTAAATTTTCTAAAGGAAAGAGACCAAGATATCAATATGGAAGCTCAATAAAAACCTTTGCTTGATGTTAAGCTGCAGTCAGAAAAGCAAACAAACAGGAACAATGCATGAAGATCAGAATAGAGAATGATAATGAAAGTATCATCCTATTATAGCAAACAATGGTAGGGCCTGTGACGTTATCTGATTAAAATATGACCATATAGATCATTGTTGCAACCACTGTTACATATTTGCAACAAATCTTACACAAATGTGGCGTGTAAGATGTCTATGAAAAGGTTATGATTTGCTGGTTACAATTATGCTATTTGTATGCATGTATCAGTTTTGTATTTGAAGTTACAAATATTGGCTCCATACCTGGATTTCAAATGTTTGATTCTGGGGTAACGCCCACAAGGTAGTTAGCCAGCACATCTTGGAGGGACGATTCAAATTGAGTGGCCCATCAAAAGGACACTTAACTGACAATGGACCATGAGAGACGTCCATCTACACTTAATGGAATTTTCCTACAAACATGCTGTCTGGGTAATGATTTCCTGCTGTGACTGAGCAAAATCGGTCATGGACATGTGACTCCAAACACCATCTTGTTACTGTAATTTTCCACGGTAAGAACAATGGGATTCTCTCCACATGGCAGAAGATATAAAAGGCTCTGGAAATACATCCATTTTGCCTCTTTCTAGCCCAAGCCTCTGGACTATGAACTTATACTAATGGGAGCATTCTAACCAATGGACTGAGGACCTTCCAATGATTTGGAAGCAGCCAGAGACTAGACTTAAGCCAGCAGTTTATTCCATCACTGCTACAAGCCTGAACCAAGAACTTTGCAATTATTGTATGTATTTGATTCCTTTAACCATTTTTAACACTCACCTTTCTTTCTTTTTTTATGAATAAACCTTTAGATTTTAGATACTAAAGGATTGGCAACAGCGTGATTTTTGGGTAAGATCTAAGTTATATATTGACCTGGGTGTGTGGCTGGTCCTTTGGGATCAGAATAACCTTTAATTTGAAGAGATTGGTTTTAAAGAACCACTCATCTCTAAATCCAGTGTTTTTGGTGGCAATATAAGAAGTGGAATGCTTAAGGAAACTGCTTTTATGACTTCTTGTTAGCCAGTGAGGTGAAACAGATGTTTACTTTTGTTGCTGGTTTGGTATATTCTGTGGGGAATTAGCCACCAGTCTTGGGGTGCATCTGCCCTATTTCTCAGCGGTTTGTCCTGAATTTGGCATTCTCAGTTGTGGCTCACTGAGGCATGGTTACAAGCCCTCACCTGAAAAACTCTTCAGTTTGTATCCCCTCTCCCCCCCAATCTCAAAGACATAGTAGAAAGAGAAATTCAGAGGTGAATGACAAAAATGAAAAGACTTCTATGTGGAGAGAAAGAAAAGGTTGGGATGGATTAATTTACAGAGGAGATGAATAAGAGGGGACACGATAGAGGTCTAAAAATAGTGATGGTATAGAAAAGGTATATGGGATGTCCTGTGTATCATCTCAGTATAAGAACGAGGTAATGATCAATTAAAGGCATCAAATTTACAAGTAAGAGAATTTTTAATACAGTGCATTATTAATGGCTAATGAGAGTCACGTTTTGGGGTGCAACCCAGAGTCGCGATAGGTTGTGTCACCACTTGTCCTGTAACCTTGAGTGCCTTAAAATGCTCTACTGCTTTAGCATCCCAGTCTGGATGCTCCCAGCCAGCATATAAGCATGCACTGAATCTCTGTGTGATAAAAAGCCCTGGTTCAGCAACTTTGACTCCAGCAGCCTGCTTGACACACCACAGCAACACTCTGGTCTCCACCAGTCTTGGTTACTACTAGCCATGTGATCCCAACACACACCCCAGTCCCGAATTTCCCCAAAACTCTGCCCTGAAGCGTCCAGCTCTGGCCTGGAATATGTAGGCAAGTAATAAGGTCTGCTACTCTCCACATAGCAGTTATTTTGCTTTAAGTGGTGTTAACAATCGCTTCAATTCAAATACAGCACTGGGTTGGTGGAGATTAAAAGTAAAATGAGTTTATTAACAAAAAGGATTTTAAGTGAGTTCGTGCATAAGGGATAAAGTCAGAAATGGTTACAAGCAAAAAAAAAGTGAAAAACACTTTCTGCTGATTAAGAAATAACAAAACTACAGTCTTGGTTCAAGGTAAGATTCTTACCATGCTTCCTACCAGCAAGATGGCTGACCACCCAGTCGGTAAGGATCTCCCACCAAGTCCAAAGTACTTGTTTCCTTTGTCATCTTAGGTGAAAGGGAACTTGGGGTTCTATGCCCTTCTCTTTTATAGTGCAATGAGCTTTTGAAATGTATCTTTCTCAAAGTCCCGTGCCCCTGCTGTGAGGAAATGTGCCATGAAGTCTGATGGAGAAGGTTTCATGCAGGTTTATTCCTTGCTGGTGCTTTCTACAATGAAAATTAATCTTTTTCTGCAGCCTCCGATATACCAGAGAGTCACCACTTGACTGGTTGCCAGTTGTTTGTGATTGTGCTTGAATGGAGGTGTCGGCCTTTCCTTTGGAAAAAATCTGTTTACCCACTACCCAGACTTGTCCCTAAACACATTTTAGTCCCGTGTTTCCTTCACATTTGTACAGTCCTTTGGACCTTTACTATTTCTGCACCACACAAGAATATTAAGGACCAGGTTGTTATGGTTTTCCAATAACACCTTACATGACACAGTGAATTGGGCTACACTGAACTCATCAGGCCAACTGAAACTCACTACCAGATACCCGTGAGCCCCTTGCCCTCTGGCATTGGGATGCTGTTAGAGTCAGAATAAGTTACATAGCTCAAGTTATTATTTTAACAAGGGATCTAAACCCTCATATTTTAGGGCATAAACCAACAACTAACAGATGGCGGTTAAGAAGAACCTTCCTCTAAAGGACATGTTATTCCATAACTGTCTATTATGAGTTTTTGCATACCTTCCTCTGAATTGTCTGTTAGTGGTCACTCAGAGACAGGATATTAGATTGTCTGTTGGGCTGTTCTAGTAATTCTGATATCCCCAACAACCAGTCAAAACATTATTTCATGAAAAATTTAATAAAATTGATAGACCTTGCATCACATTTTTATGCTCTACAAACCCAGACTCTGTCAGACCGTCAGGAAGATAGGTTTCAGATTTGTGAACTCTCTGCCAGAGTATGCTGTTCCTGCTTCCTTTGAAGTAGAATTCCAGGGTCAGAACCATGAAGACCTCCACAGCCTACCTCAATTATTGGTATGGAACGCAGGACATTATAGTCAGGACTTAAAGCATATAATGATTTACTGATCCAGATTGAACCTTGACCTCAGCTGGAAACAAATAGGAATCTGTTGCTGCTTTTGGAGCACAGGTGTAATGTGTTCCATAGAAAAATCTTTGCCAGGTAGGCAGGTAGCCACAATGTGGCAAGTAGGTTTCACGTGTAGAGAGCATTACAGCAAACCAGGGTGGAGGTGACCAAGGCATGAAAAACTGGTAGGTTCCACATGCTGAAGAAATGATTACAGCCTCACCAGGGGCCTATCCAAAGCCTATTGTAGTCAATGGGAATCTTAGACTTCACTGGGCTTGCCTCAAGACCAACGTGAATGTTAAACAGAGCATCCTTGGTGTCAAGGTTCCTCCCCCACTCTGAACTCTAGGGTACAGATGTGGGGACCTGCATGAAAAACCTCCTAAGCTTATCTTTACCAGCTTAGGTCAAAACTTCCCCAAGGTACAAAATATTCCACCCTTTGTCCTTGGATTGGCCGCTACCACCACCAAACTAATACTGGTTACTGGGGAAGAGCTGTTTGGACGTGTCTTTCCCCCCAAAATACTCCCCAAAACCTTGCACCCCACTTCCTGGACAAGGTTTGGTAAGAAGCCTCACCAATTTGCCTAGGTGACTACAGACCCAGACCCTTGGATCTTAAGAACAATGAACAATCCTCCCAACACTTGCACCCCCCCTTTCCTGGGAAATGTTGGATAAAAAGCCTCACCAATTTGCACAGGTGACCACAGACCCAAACCCTTGGATCTGAGAACAATGAAAAAGCATTCAGTTTTCTTACAAGAAGACTTTTAATAAAAATAGAAGTAAATAGAAATAAAGAAATCCCCCTTGTAAAATCAGGATGGTAGATACCTTACAAAGTAATTAGATTTAAAACATAGAGAACCCCTCTAGGCAAAACCTTAAGTTACAAAAAAGATACACAGACAGAAATAGTTATTCTATTCAGCACAGTTCTTTTCTCAGCCATTTAAAGAAATCATAATCTAACACATACCTAGCTAGATTACTTACTAAAAGTTCTAAGACTCCATTCCTGGTCTATCCCTAGCAAAGACAGACTATAGACAGACACACAGACCCTTTGTTTCTCTCCCTCCTCCCAGCTTTTGAAAGTATCTTGTCTCCTCATTGGTCATTTTGGTCAGGTGCCAGCGAGGTTACCTTTAGCTTCTTAACCCTTTACAGGTGAGAGGAGCTTTCCCCTGGCCAGGAGGGATTTCAAAGGGGTTTACCCTTCCCTTTATATTTATGACACTTGGCTATCAATGCCACCTGGAAATCTCAGTGCAATCTTATTAATTATGCAAATTATTTTCAAATGACTTTTGTTTCATTATTTCTATTTTTGTTTGTTTCTTACAGTGTGGCCAAGAGACATGAAAAGGTACAGAAAACATACCCACAGCTTGTACGACATAGAATTAATTTAAGTATTTTAAATGCAGACTTCCCCAGCCCCCCAAAATATGCTGCCACATCAGACTTACCTTGGACTGTATCTTCTCCAGTTTAAATCACAAAATTCTGTGACCTTATTTCAGCCATTGGCTTGCTTGTCAATAGATTTTGACATGAAAATCTGTTGAACCAACTTGAAGGGCAAGAGCACAAAGCTACATGGCTCTGTCTGTGCTAAATGGACTGTGATTGACAATCCAAAGATATAATAAGTATGTTTTGTGACTGGCACGGCAGGAGAAAGCATTAATTTAAATTACAACTTGGGGCTTTGAAAGGCTTATTGAGCCATTCCATTCTCATTATGAGCTCCTTCCACTATTTGAGATTAAGTGATACCTTTACATGACAGTTTTATTTATTTAAATATGTACATTTATGGAGTTCTTCTATTAAGTGTTTGAAATGTCTGCAGGTCTCTTGCAGAGATGTATATGCAGCATGGCCCATAATTACCTTGGCAGGCTTGGAGCACTGATAAAAGATTATATTTTTAAAAGTAAAGTCCTCAAACTTTCACAGGGCTTGGCAGGAAACCTATTCCTCTGTTGTATCTGGAGCAAGTTCTGGGGAGATAGCCTGCAGCCAGGAGCGCCAGTGTAACTGTTAAATCTTAAAAGAAAAGGGCAGTAACTGTTAAATCTTAAAAGAAAAGGCTTTTGACACTAACAGAGGAAAGGAGAGAGGAAGACAATTAGTGCTAGAGAACAAGAAACAGCTGTTTAATCATTTGTTTTGCCTTGTGGCTGCCAATATACAAGCTTATAATTAAAATACACATAGAAATAGGTCATTTTATATTAATTCTCTAAGGCAGGCCTTTATCTTTTTAAGGAACCACCTCTGAAGTGAGGTTATTTGAATTTTTCAAAATTGTTCTAAGCCAAGAATGATAATTTCTTTCTTTAACTGATTTTTTTTTTCAGAAGTTTCTGGTATGGCAGATGGCCTGTAGTGATCCAATAGGATATAAAACTCTAGTTAGGTAGTCACTTGGCAATAAAATGAGTTAGCCTAGTTTCCATAGAGATGTTAAATGTTTTCAATGCTGTCTTACTTTTGTCTCTTTCAAAATATGCATGATTAAAAAATAAGAAAAAGGTAAGATTAAAATAAAATAAAAAGCTTAGGACTCCGTGGACATGATGGTTTAG